AGCTAAAACCTCCAAAAAGAGGATTCCGGGCATGGGGACCTCCTGGGCTTGCTCGGTTTCCTTCCTCCCTCCGTGCACGAGGTTGGAATTTTTAGAAATAACAATTCCAAAAACCGGTTCCGAGGGGAAGGGAGAGAACCCGGGGCCCCGTGCGCGAGGGAATCCGCTTTTTGGAGATTTTAAAGCAAAAAACTCACGAAAAGCGGATTCCCTCGCGCGGGGCAGGGAGGCAACCGAGGGAGCTCAGGGAGCCCCGCGCGCGAGGGAATCGACTTTTTGGACGCTTTAACCCTAAGAACCCACAAAAATCCGCTTTTTGGAAGTCATAACTTTAAAAAAACACAACTATAACGACTCCTAGGCGCAAGGGGCATATAGAGCTCAAGGATTTCTCAAAGGGGGTCCCTTGAGGGACCCAAGGGGTATAGAAGGAGCATAAGGGGGTCCTGTAAGAATAGGATACAGACTATGTCATCAGTCGTGATAGGTTGGAACCTTGTCGTGGTAGGTTGAAATATTGCTTTTCAGTCGCAGTGCTAAAAACCTTATCGTGGAAGGTCCCCCCTGTAGGCAGCACGCCGCAGCCGTGCCACCAGAAATGGACCATTCCCTCATGGTGAAGCACGGCTTGCGCTTGCTTGCGGGGCACAGGTGCTCACTATGTCACTATATGTAAACACTGCGGATGTAAAGAAGAGCCCACCTGCGTGGCCGTTGTTCTCGCGGAGTACGGCGGCTACTTTGGCAGCACCTGGACGATGGGTGCATACAGTGAAGCATATGCCTTCCCCAAACTTGAAGGGCAAGACAGGCAGGAGTGGATGCTGCTGCATCCTGGCTTTCAAGCTCATTGGATAGGCACAGGGTTGACGGCCGAATGCCAGGCGGCAGGCATGAAGCCAGAGGCAGCGTGTGCGGACGAAGAAAGAAGAGGCGACAGTGGAAAGGATTGTTGGTGACGATGGTGAGGCAAATGATGATGATGATGATGATGATAAGGATTACGAGGAGGACAGAGTGAAGTTGCAATAAGGCTATCTGGACGGTCGTGGAGCAAGGGCAATAACACCAGTTGCAGCTAGCTTTCATCTTCAGCAGTGCAGGCAGCCAAGTTCACAACCAGTCTCCGGGAAACGTTCACAAAGCCGCTCCTGGCAAAACAGTGCAATGAAACCGAACCTGCGCCGAGGCCCTCACCTCTTCCCTGAGGCAGGAGCAAAGACTGGTTGCCATGCTTGCTCTTCGGCCCTCGGCTCTGGGGCTTTTGCTGAATTCTATCTGCACCAAACATGCATTTCCAGATTCCCGGTGAGCTCAACAGTAAGCAAACATTCCGGCTTGGAACAGCTAGGGGCAGCTCTGCAAGTGCTCGCAGGGCGCCATGCCTGCAGGCGTCGTGCAGAGCGCTGCCCTAGATGCAAAGGCAGGCACTGATCTCGGTTTGGCCTTAAGTTCAAACGCAAGAAGCTGACACAACGCTTCCCAGTATCGGTGATGGTACAGAGGCAGGTGCCGTGTTTGAAATTAGTAGTGCCGCTTCTCGAGTTGTCGTTGTCGTGAGGACTGCATATATTGTCCTCTGTGCCAAGCATTATCTCATGCCAAGCATTATGCATATAGGCTAATCTCAGAGCCATGATGCCGGGTGTAACAGAGCAGTTTGGTTCAACTGCAAGGCATCGCTTAGGCTTGCTGACCTGACCAGCTGCAGTTTTCAGGCGCACAGGGTCTGAGGTTCTTAGTGACAGTTTCCCCGGTCGAAAAGCAAAAGACATTATCTTTGCAGAAATTGTGCTGTGAAAGACGTCCCGGGATCTGTCTGGCAAGGTTGGGGTTAAAGTATCGTACGAGGTGCCGCTTGAAGAGCCCTGCTCCGCAGGAGTCCAGCGCACAACCCACTGCAGAGGTCTGCTCTGCAAAATGCTTGCAAAGTCGAGGCTTTCGGGGCAGGGGCGGCTGTGTGGCAAGCTTCAGTGAGGTGCTTTTGCACTGGGCTATGTGATCTTATCCCCCGGCCTCCTATGCTAAGCACCTGCCATTAACGTTGGATGAAATGGTGGAGCGCAAGATCTGCCAACAATCTGGACTGGTGCACTGACGCACGGCGGCGGACGCATAGCATTAGCTGGAGGTATGTAAATGGCTCAGCATGGAACCCATGCAGCTTAATCACCACCAATGTTCGGCATCTGCCAAAGTTGGGATGTCCAACTTTCTCATTCCGACCTTCTGCTTGTGCAAAAGACACGGTCAGCCTGGCCAAAAAACGCCCTTGCAGACAACCTATGCGAGCAAAGCACCTCTATGGTCGCCACAGAATTCGGCATGAAAGCTAGATAGTGACAAAACGCATGGTATGCAAGGGCGTGCGGCTGGTTAGGCAAAGCACGGAGTCGCGCACAGCTGCTCAGCAGCTCATGCTGACTCCCCTCATTTTCGACGCTCTGCTTCGCGTTATTGTGGTTACGTTTGCGATACCACAGCACAACAATACCACATAGGATCAATCATCTGCATCACGTGAGCACGGAACTAGCAGCACCTTCTAGACTAGGCGAGGCATGCGAGCCATAGTGCACCGCTGCTTTGCAGTACGCACATTGCCAAATCTTTTCCCGGCTGCTGCGCTGGCTCAGCCCCAACTGTCCATATACTCTAAACACGTTCTTCGATTCAGGCAGCTACTTCACGCTTGCATGTGATCTCAAGATGTCGCGCCTCAATTGAGCGAAGAATGCTCAGGGGTGGTGCGAACCGATCATCAAAACATGCACAAGCCAAATGTCATCTACATTTGCTAGGAGAACAGTCCTCATCTGCAGCTGAAATGCGTGCCAAATTCTCCGGAATAAAGCTGCGAACCTGACAAAGATCATTGGTGCAAAAGCGACCAGCATTTGTGCATGACCCCAACCCCACCTTCTCTCCCAGCACATCTCCCTGAACCATGTCAGAGAGCTGGTGGAGCTGGAGTTCATTGAGCCACCCCTTGGATCAAGTGACTTGCGAGCTGCAAGGAGTTTGGGTTACAAAGGTTCACTTGGAGGACACCTGCTCGCATTCAGGGTGCAATAAACTGACGGGCATACAGCTGCACCAGGCGGACCAATGCTGTGCTGGACTGCTCCACCACCTGAGCCCCATCTGACGTGAAAAGCATGGCTACAAGCCTGCTGGTTCAAGCATACTGGTGATACTGCTCAAGTGGCTTCAAGAAAGCATATATTGTGGCGGTCTCTTGATGTTGCGTACAGGAAGGCCTTCTAGAACTGTAGCGCACGTGGCTAGCGGCTAGCAGGATCCTTACATGACTATCCCCAGCAAAGGTCCCAGCTCCGTGGCGGGGAAACCTTTACCCTCCGGCCCCCGCCAGCATCAGCGAGCAGTTTGGCAGCAAGATCCACGGGATGCTTAGATCTTGTCAGCATAGACAATGGCGAGCGACAGTTGCAAATGCCTCTGAATCGATGCTGACGAGTGTGGACTCGCCTAGGGACTCTGCGGTGCCTGCGCAGGCAGTCCAGGAGGCACTTGCAGTGCTCCCTTCGAAGAGAATACAAGGAGCAAGGCAAACCCTGATAAGCTGAAAGTCCCTGCCTAGGTGTTCCCAGTGAGTCAGCCAGAGCGCTTGCTCAGTAATCCAATCGCAGTCAATCTGTACATATTCCTTGCAAGGCATATTGCAAGAGATCCACCTGAAGCCCCTGGCCAGACACTGTTGTGTTCCTCCTGCTCTTTCGCTCCGAACACCCTCTTGTACAAAAGCCTCGATTCGCAGCACGCACATGTCAGCAGGCCCCTGCACCTTGCTACTGCCATTGAGCTCCAAGCATTCCTGATGTCAGAAAGGTCATCTCTTTGGCCTGCAACTCTTCGACTTGCAAAGAAAAAGTCGTGCAGCGCCTGGCAGCAACCTGTGTTGTTGCCACGGCCTGCTCTCCGGAAACGAAGAGGAAGTCATTGTGTGCAAGTTGTTTCGGTGCCAAGGCCTGCTGAGCGTTGCATGCAGAAACAAGGCGTGCAGCATGTCAAAGGGATGACCTTGATGCACATGCGCTGCAGAAACAGAGTGGCATTGAGCTCCATGGTTTCGAACAAAGGGTGAACGACCTGTGAATGTCTTTCCACTCCCATGATTTTGACAGACCAAGGCATTTCAAAGGACCTTCACTCCAGCAGGCTGAGCAGGCTGAGGCTACGACCAGGTGCGGTTTATTCATTGCAAAGGTCAATTCGCCCAAGAGTTGCTCAGAGATCAAGTGCAGCAGGGTAACTTTGCTCATTGGCATGGCCTCCACTGCGTAGCAGTTTGCAGCGAGAGTGGTTGCGCTGATTAACACGACCAATGTGCTCCAGTGCCTCGCGCTGCTTGCTGTAAGCATGTTCTGCGAACTTGGTGACACGCAATGCCAGCAATCGAGGAACCTGGCAGAACGAACACAAGTACTCACATTCCAAGCACAAGGTGGGATTCGTAAGCTCAATGTTCGTTGCGAAAAGTGCTTCTTCTTGCTTTGATTCCCTTTCCTCCCCTGGCCCGCCCCTCCTGTGCACTCAACCCCTGAAGGGTGCCCCATTATTCCGTCTCCGAAGGCAGTATCAAGCTCATATTGCGCACAGCCAGTAAAGGCACAGCGCAAAGATCAAACCCTGCCCAGAGCACTATCTCACCTGAGCCCAGTGTAATCGCCCCAGCTCCTGCACGATGGAGCCAGCCAGCTCTTGGATTGCCCATGAATCCCTTGACGGCTTCCTCGCCATCGTTCCCAGCTGTGAGTCATGTCGATGATGCGATAGTGGGCTGATGCCCATGCAGTATGCAGCATGCATTCGGCAACGTAGCGTGGAAACGAGATCACCGAATGAATGACAGCTGGTGATGCCTTCCGGCTAGCGGCTACCAGGCAGCCTTTGTGGTTGGCTAGCAGAAAAACGAAGGCCATTGAAAGTCGAGAGCGGTGCGGATGAAAGCTAAAAGTCTAAGTAGGGCGAAGGCTGACAGCCACGCCGACCATCCTTTACTGCAATCCAGCCAGAATTCAGGGCTTCCTGAATTTCCTATTTTCTTTGCTAAGCATCCAGCTTGAGCTGGGGATCTCTTTACTTGCCTAATGAGAAGGTGATATCAGGCCTCCATACATCCAAAAATCTCAGCTGGAACTTGGGATCTAATGCGACAGTGATAGCCTTCATAGATAAGAGATCTCTGCACAGGGCACAAGTCCCTTCAATCAATGTTGCCCGAGCCATGCATGGATATGCATGGTTCTTGGCCCAGTGGTGAGTCAGTTTTAGGCACGACGACCGAATGGGTGCGTTTCAGTATCAGTGCAACCGATTGTGCGCTTGGCCTGGGCCTACAGAACAAGGACTGACATTGAAGCACTTCAGAAAGAAATCATGTCCAAGAAACCATGGTGTTCACAAGAAGTGTCCAGCGGGGGGGCAATCAGAAAGGGTGGGGAGGGGGGGTGCGGGCCCCCCCCCGCACCATAACTAGAGATTTTCCTGATGTTCGGTCGAAGGGTTGGGGTTGCCCGATATTTCAAGCATGTGAGGTGGGGGGGGCCGCCCCTCATCGCACATCGGCTTTCAAATACTTTCCCTTTGCGGACTTGCTCGCAGATCTTCACATGTTAGCTGTAAACTTCCCCTAGCACTTGTGCAGATTTGCTCCCGTCTGGTTTTTCGCAGTAACTCGGGTACAGTATTACTGGCCTTGTGCATCCTCATGAAGTTGCGCAGCTTCCGGAACTCTTTGGAAGAGGTCTCGGACATGTTCCGGAGCCTGCATTCAGTGTATCCACCAAGGATCTATCTATCGCCCTTCCCGCTGTGACTTGAGACCCATGCTGTGTCAAACAACTGCTGATGTCACCGACCACGTAGGAAAAGCCAACCAAGGCAAAAATCACCACACTGATGGCAAAGCAACCTCAGCTCAGGGTTTGCGACAATTTCTCCTTTGTAGAGACTCGAGCTGAGCGCTCGCAGTGCATGCAGGTTGTTTATGCTGTAGGCTGAGGTCAAAACGCTCAACTGAATTCTGCGGCTGTACGTTCATGGAGGCAGGCGTGAACTGTGTGAGGGACCAGTGCAGCGCAACCTCAGCACGCGATGTTGGTGTTTGCAGTGCGCGACGTGGGTCAGATCAACGCTACGCAAAGATTGGAGAAATGTACCCTTCTGTTCTGCAAGTGGTAGGATCCAGCATACCAAAGCACGACCCTTGCTATCGCGGACTTGGAGCAGCATATTGGTCTGTCCAAGGGCGAGAAGTCAACCCATACTCGCCAACCCATGTATTTTGGTCGGATACCAGCGCTGCAGTTGCAAAGAAGATGCACGCCTGGGCCCACCAAAAAACACAAGGCCCTGCAGTAGCCTGGCCCAGTCAGGTCTCTTTCATGCTGCTTCATCCTTCAGTCGAGGCGCAATGACATGGTTCAGGTACAGCAGCACGGCCACCATTTGAGCAACCCGCGCAACAATCGTGGCGTAGTCTGACATGGGAAGCGCGTCGCCTGCAGCTGCAACAGCATGAGCTGCGGAGAACTGGAAACCTTAGCCTCTTACTGCAGCCTGCCTATAGCTTCCAGTAGCAACTTCAGCTTCAGCAATCCTCGGAAAGCATCAGCTTGGCAGCGCGTCGGATCTGCTGTCTGCAGTGCGCCGGCTATGACAATTTGCGAGTGAGGAGCGTAGCAAACGCGCAATTCGCACGAATCGCAAGACTCGTAGAAGTCTCACGGACTGACTTCCGGCACTGTCGCTCCACCTCAGGCTCACTTGCACTCAGCTGTGGGTGCAAAACAATGCACGTGTCTTTCGTCGCGCTCTTCGCTGTAGGCTTGACCACAAGGACAAGGAAATCTTTTGTGCAATCAGCATGCATAGTGTCCCAGGCTGCTTGGTGTAGCATTCTGGACATCTGGAGCCTGGTCCTCGAATTCCTGAATACCTTCGTAGATTCCTGCCTTACAGGCTGCAAGTCCTTCTCAGGTTGCAACGTGTCGCCTGCAAACCCATGGGCTTGTGACAAAAGTCTCTTCAGGCCCTCTGCCGTGCTAGCATGCACGGCAGGAATCAAGCCGGATTTTCCGTTGTGATGCCCTCTCAAGTTCGCATTTTGCGGGTTGCTTTTGCTATGTATGCAGAGTTCCGTCAAAGCCCCTCCCACGAAGCAGCTGTGCTTGCCTGAAGCTTAATTTCTACCTTGTAGACCTGGAAGCTTCGTGGAATGCAGCAATATGCTGCCCGAGGTGCCCTTCGCCACTGTCACTCGCTGCGGCGGTTCCGGCGATAATCTCCAGTGTCCAGTCTGGCCCGAGGGTAAGCACATCTATGATGAACCACCTAGGATTGGTCAGCTCTTGCGAACACGCAACAGCATCAAACAGCTATTACCAGAGGCCAGGTCCGTGACTTGGTTCAGGCATGCGGCGTGCGAAGGTAGTTTTTCATTATCTCCTTGGGAGAGAGTACCTCCAGGCCTTCCCGCACGAAGCCAGTGGTCAGTGTTGCGCCTCATCTTTGCACAGACTTCTGCTGGGTAACGGGCCGTGACTGAGTCCATGCTCGCCCTTCCAAATCGAGTTAGCCAAGTGCATCCCGGTTGCCAATGTTCAGCGTCCAAAAGACCAAGGTAAGCCTGAAAAAGCTTGCGGGATAGGTCGCTCTCTACCACCTCATGTCCCCCGCATCGCAAAAATCTAGCCAGGCTAAGGTCGTAGCCAATCCATGAAAATCGTGAAAGTGCTGACCGGTGGGTCAAAAACGTTGATAGGGATAGCCTGACTCATTGTGAGTAACAACCAAAGCCATCGTGCTCTACTTTGTCAAAGTATGGCCCAGGTAATTGCTCTGAGATGTGGGCAATGCAGTCATACACAATGAACAGCAAGCCGCCTTGGAGTCATTCTCAAACAGCTCATCCACCGTCGAATGCCAGGACAGCTTTTGGAACTTGTGTTTCACCAAGCGGCAGCAATCCCAAAGAAGCCTTTTGCGATCCCCGGGGCGAGCGATAAAGCGAGATACCCAGCCCTGGTAGAGCTCTGCCATTCCCATGGCCTGAGAAGTGTGTTGACACGTTCAGATGGCGGTCAGCCGCTTTGCCGAGTTCTCACTTTGCCTACGGCCTGGGTCCTGGACCGCTGCGTTCACCGCCACCGTTGGGCGCAGGCGCAGTGCAGTTGATGTAGTCGATGGCGGCGGAACGGTAGCTGCTCGGGGCGTTCTGGCTTTGCTAAGAACTTCCTTGAGGTCAGACTATGTCAGGCTGGGCAGAACACTACTGGTTTGGAGTCTTTCGACACAGGTATACTTGTGCAGTCCAAGCGGCGCTCGTCCAGAGATCTTTCAACTTGAATGCTGCGTAAGACGCGTGTCGCTGAAAGCTGTTGTCTTGTTGTAGAGCTTCTTCAGAATTCGCAGCCCGTCTACGGGCTTCGTACTCTACAGGTGTGATCTCCTCCAATACTTCCACGTCCAAAAATGGATCCAACCTCGGCATCTGAAGGAACCTTTGAAACAACAAAATCACCAAGGACGATTCTGAAAGCGGCCAGGCTGCACGCGATCATCTTCAGACTCAGGTCTGTCTGGCTCTTCTGCAATATAACTCGTGATTTTTGATATCGGATTTGGCGAAAAGCTATCCTGAATCGATGAAGAAGGACCAGACGAAGTCCATGTATTTGTCGCGCTTGTACCTTTCAAGTCCAATCTCTGCCTAGGCCTAGAATGGCCTAGACATGTGGCAAGTGTGTGCAGGAAAGCATCACGGATGTGTTGCTACCGGGCAGCTGCCATCAGAATCACTAGTTCTTCGCATGAGCTTCCGATTTTCACTAGTGAGCTTTGCCACAGTTGCCCTGAGCTCCTCTGCGCTACGCTAGAATTGCAGCTGCATGAGCTGCAACTTCTCCAGCACGCAAGAAAATCCACCATCTGGCAACTCCACACCACTGCTACCCGTCCTGGACCTCCTGATCATATCTGTGGCTCAACTCCTGAAGCACCTCCACGACTTGGTGCAGGGAGGTCATGGTGCCCTTGCTGCCCTTAGCTCACGCATGTCAAATGGTCTGACATCCTTCTAAGCCGCTAGGAAGAATAAACTGTCCACCAAAGTTATAAGCAATCCTTCTGGATGTGTTTTTGCAGATGCGGGAAGTCAGGAACACAGCTTCTCTCTGCGGCTTGAGGACTGCTCGAACCTTGCCCGAAGAGCCCTCGCCACTTTCGGATCTGACACGATTCCCGACATCCATGTATACCTGATGCTCTTGCAATCAATCACCGCAATCCTGGCTAGCGCACATGAGTTTAAACATGTGCTGACAGTGGATGAATCAATGTACTGCTTAACAGGCTTAACAACACATCACATGTACCTTTATTCCATCACGTCATCCAACCAAGATGCGCGGCCTTTGCGGATGCTCCCTGGTTTGGGGTTCCGTGTTTGAGTCTGAACAACAGCTGCCGGAAAATGAAGCAGGGGTCTAGCGTCTAGGGGGGGCTTCATCGCAAACAGGATTCAATCACGCCGACAGGCGAGCGGCACTCAACCTGGCCTGTTCAAAAATGTTTGGAGCTAATCTTAATCCTTAATCCTGGTAATCCTCGTTCGAAATCATAATCCTTGTAATCCGCATATTCTACCGAATCCGAACTCAGAAACATGTATTTTCTGCCACTGGAGGAATTGCAAACCTCTGCAACTGCTAATTGTGCAGCCTGGAACCCTGGGTTTGTTTGCGTAGCGGAGCCCATTAGATTATGATCTTAAACTTTCATTCCACATGGGCCAGTTGAGGCCGCATTGCTTAGGGACTTCTCACGTGCAATGAAAGTTCTGAGCTGGCTGGGAAGACATCTAGTATTTGAGCTGGCCGGTAACTTCTGTTTTGGGTTCTAACTCGCCAGTCAACATTCTGGTGTGCAGCGCATGTCTATCTAAGGCATGGCAGCGCAAATGTTGCACCCATGCTGGCAGTTTTTTTGCACTCATCGGGCGCCTCGGAAGCCGTCTGATCTAGGCTACTTCGCAACATGCACTGGCCGCACTCTTCCCGAAGTTCACGTAGCTCGTGGAGCAATCTTACCAACTGATCTTTGGAAGCCTCCTGCTGCGAAGTCACAGGCAAGTTGCTGTTGCATAAAGAGCCCAGTGCATCCAGTGCCCTGAGAGCATCAGAAGATGCCTCCTCAGCAAGCTGGTCTCGCTCCAGCCGCCGGTGACGTACTTCTTGCCTGGCCTCCTCGAGCTCCTCTAATTGAGCCTTGGATTTCAGGATCAAATCTTGCTGCAGAACCCACATGTGATCGAGTGTAGGTAGAAGTCCGCACGGAGCTCCGTGACCATTTTCGTCCTGTTGAAGGCCCTGCATCAGGTCGGCAACCATGGCCCGGGCCAGCATCTCCAAATCTTTCAGGTTGGCGTCACTCCAAACGTCAGAGCCGTTTCGAAAAGTGCTCAAGCTTCGCAGTTGGCCAAGCCAGGGTCTGACCAATCTATGTTCCTCGATGCCATTGCTGAGTGCAGCCATTCCGGGTCCTCTGGGGTCAGGTGCAGAGCGACGCTGCGCAGTTTGTGCAAAGTGAGCCTCACCTTCCAAAGCTGCTTTGAGCTCGGAATGAAATGTTTCATCACTTGACACCACGGGATGGACCATGCGAGGACTGATGTCCGAAAGACTTGTGACGTCAGGAATTGGAAGGGCTCTTTAGACTTTAGCCCTCAAAGAATCAATCTACTATGCCTGCCTCGCTAATGACTTGGGAATGGTGAGACAGGAGCTGCCCTGCGCTATGTGCCAAAGGTTGCAAGGCGATCTTCTCAACTGCCAAAGAATATCCAGCACGGACACTTGCAAGCAGAGATCCGCGCCTCTTTGCCATCAAGCTCACATGTTCTGCCAGCTTAGCCGAGCAGAAGCAGTGTGTCAGGAGGTGGCGTGAAGCGCTAGTCGTCACGCAATGAATCGTGGCTGTCATTAACCTGCCTTACGGCTATCAGTGCTGTGTAGCTATGGGGAGTTCTGGCTGGCTGCCACAGGATGGTCTCCAATCACAGCGGCTAAAGTCACAAGCTGTCCTGGATAGGTATCCAGAACTTGTGTAAAAAGTGGTAGCTAGCACCTCCGCAACTTCTGAAGACTGCGATGAGATGATGAGCTGCATCTAGTGGGCTGCTAGCTGACATCATGAGGAACCCAATCGGTCCGTAAAGACACATGCAATGATGCAAGCAGCAACAGCAAGAAGCGAAGACCGTGCTAGTAAAAAGGCAAACAAATTACCCATGCCTCTGATCCGCATGGAAGCCAACAAGTCTCACTCGAGGCTCTCCACAACTTGAGACACGAGCTCACGAGCTTCTGCACTGTGTAATCTTGTGCTGCTTGCGCTCTCCTTCGGGCAAGACTGCATTCACATGTGGCAAACTTTGGTAACACCTTATATCATTGAATCAGAAGCGACTGCTTCTAGCCATTCTAGCTGCTAGCCGCTCTAGCTAGCCTTTGTTGCTGGCCTGGAAATCGGGGATGTCCGAGTATCCCGAAGGCTCCATGGGGCTTTCGCAAACCGGTGAGGAACTAGGCGATGCTGCAATGGTGCCCGCACTGCTGGGCCAACTTCTAGTCATAGCCAAATCCACATGCCTCATTCGGCAAAACGTTTTGGCAGGAGCTTGCTGATCAACTGAAACCAGTATAAGTTCAATCCCAAGGCACAAGTCGAGCTGCACGACGTGACTTTCTCCAGCCGAGGCCGAGTGTGCTAGCTGCGGAATCGCACGCCCCAAGTGGATGGCAACAGGGCAATGCAGCTGCCCCTCTGCAACGGCCTTATACATGGTGCGTCTGACAGCGTAGCACAATGGGATTGGTTCCGGCTTCTCCTCGAACTGCCTCGGATTGAAGATGCCACACAAAAAAACGCTCATATTGCTTGTCTCTTTCGCGAATCAGGGCTGAAGCACGTGACGGACCTGCGCCATGTTGCTCGCCTCAAATACATAATCAAGCTGCAGCCAAGGTTCGCATCAGAGTCACTTTGACCCGAGTCATCGGAAAAGTAATCCAGAATCGCCTCGGTTGCGCAGACCGCTCTGACACACATCATTCAGCAGGAACACCTTCCGACAAAGTATGTTCTGTAGCCTGCTGCGTCAGAGCACCTCTTGCGACTCTTGTCTGCAACCGCTCTCTTCCTTTTCTTTTGGCTGGATCAGCCCATAGGCGAGGGCAGATCTTTCAAGTTGCTTTGCATAAGAGAAGGGTTGCATGGGCGGTGCCCTGAATGCCTCTGCCTCTGGATCACCAAACTCAAGCTCTCCATGCTGCAGGATTCTGCAGGTGCTTGGCTTAGAATTCAGTCTTCCAAGGCTGATGGCCAGGGCCTGAAGACTGCTGACAACGGCGAAGCCTCTTTGCGAGTCTTGCCATCCATCAATTCCATCCCATCCATCTCGAGGAGGGCTAGTCTTTCGGCGTGGGCTTACAGCTTGTAGTCTCTCTGTGTAAGCCGCCGTTGCTCGCTTGCGCCCATGTGTCAAAGGCGGCAGCCTCAGGATGTTGGTGCCAACTCTCAGTTCCCATGCAGAAAGCAGGTCTGCGAATCTCTCATGCACAAGACGACACAACGCGAGCTTTGTTCAGGCGGCTTGATGGCAGCCCTTCCCTCTGAGGAAGCAACTCATCACACCCAAGAATCACATGCTGGTGCGAAGATTTGTGATGGTAGGCTTCGCGAACTCCATGCATATGTGATGCAGCCATCACTGCGTTTGCCGGCATGACTCCTTTGAAAGCGCTCTGCATCTTCGTGTGCATGGATGTGGGGGTCCTTCAAGGACAACTCACCAGTGCAGGGAAAGTAGCAATGTAATGCGATAAAGTTCTGCTGTCCTGTATAGATTGGCATCTACAGGCGGCAGTCGAGGCGATGGCATTTGCACAAGCCATTTTCTCTCCAGACGCTGCCGCAGCTTCTTCGGAGTTGGTGTTGCTACCGGCTCCTCGCCTGGGCCAGAGGAATCGCCAAAACAACACACGAGAGTTCATGAGCCGCGCCGGAGTTGCAAGGTTGTCTCTGCGGGTCTTGAGCGTCACTTCTTGCAAAGCACCGTCTTTCAGCAAGACCATCAAGTTCTTACATAGCTTCTGCCAGAAATTAATGGGAATAGCAGCACAAAGTGTGGAGTCGAGATCTTTAGGCTTAGGGGCCTGGTGCTGAGTTTGATTGCAGCAGAGTCTGGAGCTTGCAGCAGGTTGCACACCTTGAAGGTTGAAAACACAGGCCCCTGGTATGAGCCCCGAACCCTGGGACCCTTACATACCTACTATATACATTATGTGTGCCCTGGAGGGTCCCTTGAATCCCCCTAACAGGCCTAAGGGCCCCTATTAGTGGCCCATACGTAAAAACTTAGAACACAGCAGTCGCTTGACCACATGATTCACAAGACGTTCCAGCCAAATGGCCATGAAGGCAGCCTCTGCCTGACTTCGGGACATAATGATATATAATGATTACACAGGACGCGTTACGCCATTCAAGTGCGATGTTACGGAACATCAAACAGACTCCATGTCGACAGGCTGCTGGAACCAGCCTGCTGAGTGTGCTTTGCAGTGCGGACTTCACCTCGGTTTCGCTCGTGCATCTTTGGTGGCAGGACCTCGGGCACGACTGCATCTCTGGGGGCCTGCTTCAAAGCATAGCTGACCAAGTCCTTGTGCACAGCATTGAGCACGCAAAGTGTCACTGCTGATGCGCTGATGTTGCGATATGGCTGGCCGAAAAGCACCATCTCTCCGAAGGTCGCGCCCTCTTCCAGGATACTAGTCCTCCCCTTAGTCTGCACCTCAACTCGACCACGAGCCAGGATAAAGATGAATGCGCCCAAGTCACCAGCATCGAATATTCTCTGTCCTGGGAGGAAGGTGCGCAAATTCAGATTGTCACAAAGCAGCTCGATAACTTCTGAGCGAAACCTGCGCCAGGTCCGCATGTTGCGCAGGCTTGCCCGAAGGCCTTCTTGGATCTGCTGGTGCAGCTCCTGGATGCGGTGCACTTCGCCCACGAACTTGTCCAGGTCATCTTTGACACCTGCCTGGCTTGCATCCCCTTCAGTGGATGCTGGCAAACCCAGCCGCCACACGACAGCGGTCGTCTGGGCCGTGAGGCTGGCGCGATGCACACCGTGCTCGCCGAACAAGGATGTCACGTCAAAGTAGGTCGGTGCGGAGACAATCCCGGAAGCTACATTTCTCTGTGACCACCGGACGTCACCGGCCAGTATCAGCACCGCTTCCTGGCATGCCGACCCCTCCAAGGCTATCAAACAACCAGCATCATAAACAGATGGCTTGAACTGCGGAGCGAGTGCTTGGCAGAATTCCAAGTCCAACTCCGCACTGCAAAGCATCTGGCAAAGAAGTGGCTTAATTGTATCCCAAATCGAAGCGCGCTGCGGCAGGAAAGGGTGATCTGCTGGGACATTCTGTAATCCGGCAGCTTGCAGCATCTGCTTCAGCTCTGTGGGAAAGAAGTGCAAAGCCTTTTGCACAACTGCCCTCGTCATGCGAACCAGTGTGCAGCCTGCTCGCCCAGCAGTCAGACCATATTTTGGAGGTCCTTGACGCAAAGCCAAGGACGCCTCAAGACCGAAGATTTCCCACCTCCGTGCAAAACGGCTTGTTTGCTCACCTTTCTCATCAGAGCTCTCGACCGTAAGTTCACCACTGTAGAAGAGGTGCATGGCCTCATCGCTATCAAACGGGCTGCAAGCCATCTTTGGCCAGGTTAACTGCAGAATGTCGCACTCCGTGCTGAGGAGATGCACGAACTCCTGGCTGCAGCCTGTGAGAGTCTCCTTCAGGGCTGTCATAGCAATTCGATGTCGGACTTGCTGCGCAAGTTTCACCTTTTCTTCTGGGAACTTCTCGAAGCAAGCATGGAAGGCATCTTTGCTTACAAGGAACAGAAGCGATTCCGTTTTCTCGCTACATCGAGTAGTAGCATGTCGCCGGTATCCTGTCTCCAGCAAGGCTGCTTCTCCGATTTCCTGTCCAGGGCCCTTTGAAGTGATCCTCCTCCCATTCGCCGAGATGTCAACGAAACCACGGACGATCAAGCCAAGGCTGCGACCAGGAGCACGCTCTTTGAAAATCACTTGCCCAGGCTCAAACAATCGCAAATCCATATCTTTGACAAGCCTTGTAATCAACGCCTCTGAATAGCGGGAGAAGAAGCCTCGGCTTGCCAGCATCCTCTGTAAGAATGGCAGAAGCTGGAGACGAAGGTCTTGGAGAACTCGTCGCCGCAGGACATGCATCTCTTCAGCATGGAAGCTCGTGCTGAACTGCTCCTGGCTCGCACTGTTGATCTCCCAGGCCTCCAGGGGCTGCTGCGTCTCGTTGTTCGGGACGCGTACCGTAAACACAGGATGTGAGAATGAACCAACGGCAAACAAGCCTCCGAGGACTGAACCGGGCCCACTCCGACCAACATACCGTTCGGCCGTGTCAGATGTGGGTGGCAACCAATTCTCGACCTCACCGGCTTCAATTAGCACGAAACGCTTCTCATGGGCATCCTGGGCTGACCAGAGTTCGGTTCCACAGCTGTAGGTCACACGCTGTAGCAAGTTGGCAATCCGGACCTGTGGGGTGCATAGACATCGAAAGCTTGGCAGCTTACCCTTCATTTTAGTTTTCATTCTATACTGGGGCTTTTTGCGGGAGCTCTTTGATGCCTCTTTCCCACTCTCAAAACAGACTTTTGCCTGGCACCTGTCCACGGATTGAAAGGCCACGCAGCACCTTGCATTTCTGGACTGCTGCCAAGGCCTTGTCCTTGTGAATTGGGGCCTTGGCATGGCAGGATTCTCGGTTGCCCACCACCATACCTGAGGCCTAGAGGCCTACTGTTTCGTTTGACCAGAACAGCTGGAATATCATGAACATCCTGGAAGCGCTTCAGATTTAGCCCTGGCTAACTTTAGAGTTTAGTCAAAAGCTGATAAAGCGCCCGTCATCTAGCCGAAGAGCCCGGATTTTGATGGAGGGCTGTTGTCCGACCAACACTTCTTCATCACTTGTGCTGAAGTCGGAGTCATACTCCTCGCTAATGAGCTGCGGCTCCTCAGGCTCCTCCAACTTCCCTTGCCGTTTACGAGTGGACAGCCCTCCCTTGTAATCCTTGGAATCCACATCATCTTCATGAAAAAGCCTTTGATTATGTGCACGCCGCACAACATTCCATTTCAACTTTGGTGGCATTCCAAGCCCTTGCTGCGACCTTAGTGCCAGCGCAGGATTGACCAAACACTCAGCATGCTCGCCTCTCCCCTGGAATTAAGATTCAGCTGATTGTTGAGATTGTTTGCAGCACTGGCTTCCTTACCGGACATCAAGAGAATTCCTCCCTGCAGCGAATCCAAAAATCAATGCTGCAATAGTACCACGAGAGCAGAGCCCCTCAGTCTTGCACTGCTCGCTGTGTCTAAGTGACTACTGAGGCCCAATCTCATGATGCCGAGCTGCTCATGTGCAAAACAGGTGTGCGCTGAACCTTTGGCGCTGGAGGGTGAGACCGCTAAACTGCCAGGTATGAGCAAGAGAAGCCGGTCAGCCGGTTAAGAAGGCTGCCTTTGCGCCAGCTGTAAGTCAAAACTTTCTGATAACTTGGCCAGGTCATGCTCATGGACCATGGTGATGTGTGGTAAGGTGACATCATCCTGTCTTAGCACAACTCCACCTTCATGCAGATGTCTTGACAAAAAGAGCAGCACCAGCAGCTTGGCGCAGCTGTTTGGTTTCCGCACAGGATGGGACTGGACGCAGCGTTGCGCGCATACTCTCAGAGGTGCACGCCATAGTGATGAGGCCTGGGCAGATGAATGCTTTCTATGCTTTAGTGCCGCTCTCCCAGCGAAGCAAGATTGGGAGGACGCCGTCTGTATTGGAGAGTGTCGGTGCGCTCTTTCCCAGTGATGCCCTGCAACTTATGGTGCCAGTTCTGGTTGTAACCACGAATCCACAAAAGCAAGCTAGCTCACGAAGCATCAGCACAGCGCACCGTGCGAGATGCAATTTTCCAGAGCTGGTCCTCACAAAAGCGTGACCTCGTTTTCAGGGCAGGTATCCAGGTGTCTTGGGTCCATGCTCATATACTGCCACGGTTACTGCCATGCTAGGTAGCAACATGCGGCCTAAGGCCTAGACTGAGGGGGCTTGCTTGCCGCATTAAAATTATGCGAGCTGACATAGGTCACGGACTTGCTGCTCGCCTTGTCGTGTCCAAGTGGTCATCAGCACTTGCCAAACTTCCCACCAGCACGTCTTGAAGCATATCAAACAGCACAAAAAGCATTTGTATGCAAGCCGTTTGCCACGGCCACTCTAGAGACCCTGGCCGCAGCAAGGGACTTGATTGTTCCTTCGTGTCGCCATGGTGCTTTGGTCAAGGAGCCACTCCTCAATATAACACAGCTTTGACGCAGCTCGTCATGAGTGTGGCTCAGATTTCTCAGATTCTGACATGCAAGATCGTTTGGCTCCAGTACCCGCTTCTGGATCGCGTTTGATGTACGCGCCTGTGAAGACCTCGCTTGGGGTGCTTTGGCCATGGCAGGGTGTCGCCGTCCGTGACGCCATCCAGCCGTGCTACCTCAAACCCGGGTTCCCCACGTCCAGCGGCGCAGTGTCATCGTTCTCGCGCAAACGCGCATGCCACTCCTGCACGAGGTGCTTATGAGAACTTACAGAATGTCAGGGCGCTGCTCTGTTCATCGCTCCAAATCAGGACGACCCAGCTCGTGGAAGGGCTCCATCGTCCGCATGCTCTCCGGCAGCCGGCCCTCAGGCGCCGTTGTCAGATCTACCAAACGTGGCTCCAGACTGGTGATTGGGGTGGCAACTAACCAAGGCACAGGTGAAAGGTCACCCCAAAAAGATACATAACTATCACCCATCTCCTCTTGATTGCTCATTCAGGGCCCGACGTCCAAGCGGCCTCGCATGGGATACCTTTCCACATTCCCACATCCCTTTGTGGGTGCTGGTGTTGTGTAGGAGCGGAGGCCGAGGCGATGGGGCATCTTTCAAAACGCGTTCGCTTCGATCCAAATCTGTAACCTGAGCCCAAGTGGCGACATGCCGCACTCCTACCCATCCTCCTGAGGTTTGTTGCAATGAATGGGGCCCCTGCCCCAGTTCTGCTCATTCCTTGTGAGAATGTCTTCCTTAGCGGCTTCGCCACGGGATCTTGTCTTCAGGATGATTGCGTGCTGCACCGAAACGCAACGCTTTGACGTGTCAGTCTGAGGTGACCACATTTCTCGGTGAAAGCGTATCTTGGCAGCAGCTGCCTAGCGCAGAGCGCGAGCAGCCAGAGAAGCTTCATCGCAGTGGGAGACCAAGCAAGGTCTCAGCCTGCATTTCCTTAATGTTGTGCTCCAGGTACTGCTCCTGGCACATGGCACGGGTCACAGGGCAAAAAATTCTCATCTCTGCCAAGTGGCGTGTAAGTGGCCTAGCAAAACAAGGTCCTGACGATCTTCATCAGGTCGCCGGCCGTGGTAGTGGACGCTTTCGTAGAGAGACCTGATGCCCAACGCGAGAAAGCACGCACGTCACGCGGGGGCCACACGACATCATTATCAAATTTGCCAAGCTGAGGCCATGTCTTTGGTCCGAAGTCATGCTCTTGCCCCAAGAGCATGTGCTGAGCATCAAAGGGGTTGGAGGTGTAGCGCCGATTGTGAGGAACCTACAGAGCGCAGCTAATCACTGCTCTGTCCCTGGTGGGCTGCAATCTGGAGGCCTTCTCTGGCTCGAAAGTCTCCACCACTGCAATGGGCTGCGCCCGCTCTTCCCCGAGATTCTGAGGAAGCATTGGCATAGACACCAGCAGAATGCCATCATGCAATTTGCCATTGAGGCCCGCGCAATTCGGAACCACTCACCCTCTTCGAAGGGCTGACACGGCAGGGCTCTGTGGGTCATACATTCACGCGAGGCAGCCCTCTAAGAGCAAACGGTCCTCGTGCAGAAGCTCTATGGTGGATTGGTCTTGGTTGTCCGTGCTGGTGCCAAAAGCAACGGGATGCTGAAGGACTGTGAATGGACTTCCATACAGTGTCATACAGTCTCTGCCAAGTTGCCTAAGTCACGCGGTGGCTTTCGAAAGGCTTCCCGCGGACGAGCTTGAACAGCTCGGAACACCTGGTAGCTTTTGGCAATCAATCTCATGCCTTTGCTGGAGCCATCCTAAATCATGCTGAGAGCGTCTTTGGCACAAGTCTGGCAACTCGAATTGTCCTGCCTCTCTGTCATCCCCCTCCAAGCGAGCGTAGGTGTCGTTGGGGCGTGGCGTAGGGGGTTGCGGCACCTGCTGTGCTTGCAGCTCGAGTTGCAAAGTCTCAACCTTGTTTGCTTGAGCCCAGTGCCCCGGGCGGAGCCGCACCAGCGAACTCAAAGTTCTGGGACATGTAAGTTGGATCTCAGCACAGCACTGCTCCTAGAAGCCACCGGAGGCCACAAATCGCATTGGTGACCGTTTCTGCTGCATATCTCGCTGGTGATGTGTTTGCTTTTTGAGGTCGGGACTGTATGTCCAAACCTTCTCGGACTCGTGGCCTCGAGACATGTTTCCAAGGAAAGCTCAGAATCCTTCATGATATGGGGTCGCATGTCCCCACCGAAGGAAATTATTATTCCGTCATGGCCAAGCTGCGACTGCGAGCTTTGTGTCATAAAGACTGACATGCCCGAGTCAGTTAGGGGCCAGAAATGGCATGTGTATACTGAGAGGCATCTTTGACCCAGGCCAGCCATGTGCTTGCGAAGCCAGTCCTTGAGTTGGATCTCTGACACTCAAGGTCGTCTCTGTTTTCTCAAGCACAGCGGACCCCTCAACTCAGTAAGCTTGAACACTCCCTTGGAGAGAATGGCTGCCTAGGATAGGCGCGATCCTTCTGAAGCTCGGCGCTGTTCAGCTTCTGGCTGGAGTACAAGTAGACCTTCAGGAAAACACTGTGCTAGGAACACTGCGGAGCACAAACAAAGGGAAAGGAGTGAGCAATCAAGATGGCCACTGCTCGTATGGAAGTGATATTGCGAACCAGGAAGGGGCACGATTGATAGAACCAAACATACCTCGAGAACACCTACTCTTTGCTTCTGTTGAGCTTGCGACGAAGTCCAGCTACATTATTTTTCCCAAAGTTACACTTGCCACACCTGCAAACAGTGCTTGCATAGCCTAACGAGTACGAGTAGCAAGCTACGTTGGTCCTGCCGAACACTGATTTGCTTGAAGCGTCCGGTTTTGGTTCAGACCCTGCCTGGCCCTCAAGGAAAGGAGTTTCCCGCTCACGCTTCTTGCCAAGCAGGTCCTGGGGCCCAAGATGCAAAGCTTTTCTTTTCCATGCTTGCGACCTGAGATGGCTGGGAGCCGCACATTCCTTCGAACATTCTGCTCGGATTGAATCCGCACCTCGGAACTTGGCACCCTGAGCCTGTGCTTTACAAAGCGCAAATATCCCAAGGCCGGTGCCAGCGTCTTATTTGTCTTCTTGAAGTTTTGTACCGTTGCCTTTGCACGGAATCCCTCCAAATAACGCAGGCATCAGGTATGTCAGCACCTGTGTCTGAGGTATCTGCACTTCTGCGTAGTTCACTATGCTGCTCGTAATGCTCATTCCTGACTGCTCGCGAAAACAACACGTATGGAAGCAGGCAGCATCCCAATGCAGCTCTGGCGATGCCACATCTAATCTCTCACTGGCAGGATTAGCACGAGCTGGGCTGATTTTTCGGTCAGCCAAACTGCAGAGGCTTCAGTTCCTGAATCTGCCATGGGTTGCGTGTGGGCCTTGCCACAAGTTAATTCCAACACTAGTCTAAGCCCATGAAGTCCACCACCTTTGCATCTTTCGACGCGCACAGCTCTTGCACTGGGGAAGGCGGAGGAACAATTTGCCGCAGAAGTGCATTGCAACCGGAACAGAAGCTCAAAGTGAGCCTTTGCAGTGCTTCTGCGCAAGGTCGGCAGTAAGGGCCGTGCTTGCAATCTGCTGGTCCGAATATGCTTCTTGCCGCTATCTCTGCGTAGATATCCTCACCCGGCCTACCACATCTGAGGCACTTTGGGCCTGATGCGATCTTTGGATAGCCGGGAGCCTTGGGAGCCTTCAGAGCCTCGCCAGCCTCGCGAGGTCTTTCACTGACCGCTGGCGTGCAGAACAGACTCTGGTGGCTTGCTTGGGAACCATTCACCTGGCCAGGTCCGCATCCATCCTCCTTGCGATGGCGAGTCAGATCTTGTCGCTGACAGTCTGTACCACAATAGTAAACCTTTTTGCAACGGGTGCAACGTTTCACCTTCTCCGTAGCGCCACATGTGATGCAGCTTTGCAAGTCTTCTCCAGCCATGCTTCTGGGAACCTAGCGAACTCGGGCACAATCTAGAGAAAGAGCCTACATAGGGTGGGGGCAACCACGTGACTCCTGGCCAAAATGTGCAAATCCGTCAGCTTGTAGCGCATACCTTGCCATGTCACGTCCTGACATCTCAATCTCTGGAGCCATCTTCTTGCACGCGCCACGGTTTGAGTGCACAAGGTTGGAGGGGCACACACGCTTGCTCACTGCATGATTTCGACCAATGTTTATCTGCGCAGCATTACGGACGGTTTTTGTGGTGTGGAGCCTTGCCACGACTGAGTGCAAACAGGAACAGGCTAAGGGTGCGGCGTTTGGTCTAAAGGCTCCTTGAGCGTCGGGCGCGTCTGAAAGCGAACGGTACCTACTCCATAGGCATCATAGAAAAGCTGCTGCATCCACTTTTCTTGTGCCTGGAAGCACCGGCTAGTAAAGAAGACTATGAATGAAACATCTGACAGAGTCTCATCTGCATCAGTCGGCCTCCATTACCCAGTTGTCCAGACGTCACAGCCTCCACCAGCTGAGGATACACTGGATTGAATAGTCAGGCCAAAGACAGCGGCAGATGCGTCGGTCCTCCGCCAGGACGTCTCTTGTTGCCTCATGGGGTGCAACGGATCGCCGTCGATCTGGGCCTGCCGCAGTCTACGCATGTGGTGCGATGGCAAGATCACCGGCAGCTTAGACACGGGCTTGGGCTGTTCTTCTCCCTCTTCTTGACCTGAAGTTGGCTCAGGTTCTGCAACGCTGCCTATTAGCAATCGCCTGTTGGCAGGACACGTGGGAAGTGCAGCTCAGGAGCTGTTATCGCTTCTTCTGCCGGGTAGCCCTGGCAGGAGTGCCATGTCACATGCGCCTCCACCATCTGGTGCCTCTCTGCGCCTCCAGCTCTCGGTCGCTGATGTATGCCCCTGGCTGTGTTAAGCAGTCAGCAAGAAGTCGCGAAGCTGGTCGGTATGCTGTTGGCCCTGTAACCACTCCAGGGCTGCCGTAGAGACGCTGCATATGGTCGATTTGCGCTGCCTCGCCAAGCTTGGCTGCGTGTGAGCTTGCCGCAGATGTGAGAACTGTGAGAACACTTGACAATCAATACACCCTATTCTATGTTTTGGTCAAGGCTGTGCCTTCGGAAAGTGCGGGTTCTCCCGCGCACCCCGCAACCGATTCAGGCTCTTGAGAGCCTCAGGATGAGTAAACTGTTGGGTTTCCATCCCACGTTCTGTTCCGCTAGGGTGGTAGCCATGAGCTGCTTGGGCACCTCGTTAGCTGCCGCGTCTTCAGTGGACACCTCATCATGAGCAAATGCAACTGGGCGCTCTGGTGGCCGGTCCTGCACTGCTTCTCAAGTCAAAGTCTGCCATCCAGCTAATTCATCTGTGCAGAAACTCAGTCAGTCAGTCAGTCAGTCAGGCAGTCAGTCAGTCAGTCAGTCATACGCCAGCGGCGCGTGGACAAAGAGACGGTAAACCGTGTCATGCCAAGCATGGGGATTCTGTACAAGTCTGGCTAGCTCACGGTGATCGTTCACGAATTGGAATGCTCTGTTCCTAACATTTGTAATCCATTCACGTCTAGGTCGTCCTACCCTTCTGACGTATCTGCTTGTGGCTGGCTCCAGGCTTCCAGGGATGAAAGATGAGACGTGCATAGGATGGTCGTGTGGAGATCGCAGCGCTCTCCCAAAGAGCAGTAGTTGCCGTTGACATAGAATTTGAGTGGCAGCATGGCAAGAGCTTCTTGTAACACATTTGCATTAGACACTAGCCAAACGAAAGCCGGGCGTATACCAAGAATTCCCTGGAAGCCATCCAACCGACGGCGATCTGCAGCCCTACATCAGGGCTCTGTAAATTCGAACCTTTCGGGTCCAATGCAGCGATGAGTGTTTCCAGACTTTTTGCAATTGAAGGAAATCGGATCTGTGCAGAAACTCCTAGGTGCGACTAAGGCTGAACAGGCCTCGGATGACCAGCACTGGCAGTGAGGCATGTCTGGGATGGGCACCGACTTGTTCCAGGAGTATAGTGCTGGCCTGACAAACTTGCCTCTGTAGGCAAAGTCACGTGACTTGCAACATGCAGCTGATTGTCGCCTGAAAGACAGCCTCTCGAGGGTTCCGCGCAACTTTACCTGCTTCAGTCTCGGGCCGAAGCTGGTGTAGAGCCTGCAAGTTGGGCTTCTCTATTGCATCAGGTCATTGGATGAAACTGTTAGCTTGGAGCAAAACAAGTGCAGCCTTTCTCCAAATCCAATGTAGGAGTTGTGCAACCTTAGAGCAATTCTGTCCGAGCCTAGCTCGCTCCCTGACGCACTGTGAAAATGCAAGAGTGCATTGTGAGGTTTTAACAGCTTTGGTGCTTCTGGGCCACGGGGGATCACCTTGTTATGTGGATTGCAAGCATGCTGGCCAAAAGCTGTGCACCTACACTGAAAATCGCCTCCAGAAGCTTAGAGAAGGAATGGCCCTCGCGCAGTCCTGCCCGTACACACCAAACGATCCAGATCGGGTCTGATGTGTGCGCCACCGCCTTCAATTACAAAGAGCCGTGAGCCTCAGCATGGCACGTGGGCATGAAAGCTCAGCAGCATTGACAAGAGAAACTTAAGCAAATCACGCCCGTCAAGCACGCAGAAGCCCGACAGCAAATCCTGAGCCGTCTGCACCCATCATGACATCATGACACAGCAAGCCAAGTGGCAAGCTGTAGCTTTGGCTCAACTCAGCATTCCACCAAGTGGGGATCTGCCTGTTCTTCTTCCGACCTGTTGTGCAAAGATGGAATCGGAAGCTGTGCTGCTTAAGGTTCAGAGTGGCAAGCTCACGCCCATACTCGACCGTGCAAGGAACCCGCTGCAGTCTTGTGATGACTGAGTCGAAACCCTGTGACCGATCGCTCGCGCGGACAAGCCTCTGTTACATACCCTTGAAACGCAGGGCTTGTTACATACCCCTTGTCGCCTGCTGTCGCGTGGCTATAACAGACTTAGAATACTCACGGTATTGAAAGGCTTGGCGCGCCGGGCGAGCCCGTGTTACATACCCCTTGTAATGGGGGTATGTCGCGTGTGTCAGCCGCGGCCTTGTTACAAGCCTTATGTTTGACCTGCTCCCTTGTACATGCTGGAGCCACATGAAGCAACTTTTGCGAGGGGCAAAGGGAATTGCGAGCTGGAGCCGGGAATGCTAGGCGCCCCGCAACTGCCTCAGAAGGAACTCTCCATCCTCGAAAGGCACGGAACTCACACAAAGGTGGCCGCACTTGCTCCACAACATTGCATGGCATCTGCCCATTAAGCCTGCTTGAACTGGGTCGGATTATTGGAGAGAGAACATGCAACATGCGAGCATGCGATCGCCAATGGAGTGAACATGGCAAGTGGTCGAGAACCAGTGTCAAGGACACAGGGTCTCACAGAATGATTGAAGGCATGTGTCGCTCAATCATGAACAGCATGCTCAGGATAGACGGATATATGTGGATATCCGGAGCATGTCGTGCCCCCCCTCACAAGGAGGCAACGACTCCCCACTGCCATAAAACCGCCGTGGCAATCAGAAGATAGGAAATGCAGCCAGGGGGAGTCTCGGGCCCAGGCCGCATTTGCACATGCACCCAAGCAACCTAGACTTTCAGAAAGAAACACGGAACCTGAAAAATTCGATTCGCATGTGGGGAATCCTGGACCAGGACCTTGACATGCCCATCATGCCCCTGCTGACTCCTGCTAGTTCAGAATTGCATCTTGGTAAGTTTGACAAACACAAGCGGCATGACCTGCTGGTTCCGACGACATCGAACATCGTTTGGTTGATGGTTGGTTGCATGAACCAGTATGAATTCTGAATCATACGCGTTCATGTATCTCTCCGAAAGGTCTTGGCCTGCGCGCTTCCTGCCAATTGACGTTCGATTGGGTTTCTGATGATTTGTGTCGTGTGTGACCTGGCACGAATTTCGACATGCCCCAAGGCCCTCGCCAGCTTGAATAAATCTCTCTTAATTTTCTCCATGAAACCCAGTGGGGCATTGTGCGAGGAGTGATCTTCTGCTATCCACCGTGGTGTTTCCTCCGAAGCTCTTACTTTTAGTTGCCTCCCGAAGTCAAGAGCTGAGCTGGCGGGACTGCCTGACACAACGCTGGCATCTTTGCGCTGCCCGAGCACCGGCCCAACAATCCCAACACGAAGTATGCCCGAACTAACAAGCGTATCACGTTTCGCGCACTTGTGCTGTGAAGCCGCAGACTGTGAAGCCTTCATTAAGCATGCAACAGAATCAGAGTTGCATGGTTTGAACCACTGACCTGAGGTGGAGCTGGTAAACCGAAAGGGCAGTTGAGCATGACAGCCTTGACCGATTTTGGCCAGAGCCAAGAATGAGTGTCGCTGTGAACAACATGCCATAGGCGCCACTGAGCTATTTCCAATAAAGCATCCCGCACCAGCAGCTCCTGCGGGCGAAGTCCCAGCAGAGCTGCATTCAGATCGTGGAAGCAGGTTAGCACCTTGGCGGCTGGGCTTGCCATCATCGCCTTATCGCCTTGCAACATTCTGTGGGCGAAGCTGCTCGTGTCACCTCTCCGTCATTTGCCTTCACCCAAACGACCGTGGAATCCGTGGAACTTGGGCAAATGTGCTTCACGCTGGCCTCAGAGCAAAGGAGAAAGATGCGACCATAGCGCTCGAAGCGACAATCCAGACCTGGGAGTGACTAGCCGTACGGCGTGATGCAGTAAGTATGTTGTGCAGCCTTTGTGCAGAATGAAGACTCCCCTGCCTTGATCAGGAGTGTGTCGCACTAAAATCTGAGAGCTTTCAAACTCCACGCGTTCTTGCTACCCATCTGGTAGCGAAACTGGCTCCAGCCCAGACTTTGGTCATGAGAAAAGGGGGAGGTGCCTCCCACGGCACGTACTGAAACAGGTTTGCCGATCCAGCTCTCCCCCCGGTCTGATATCGCAAAATGCAAAACGAATGCCCAAGCTACAGGTTCCAGGCTCCTGACCACCAATCGCACCTTGCGGAAGGGCCTTGCAATACTACAGCAATTAATTAGCAAAGTGCCATGCCTGAAAACAAACCTGCGCATGCCACTCTCAAAAAGCGCGTCTCAGATTGAGTATATTCTGTGTCCAGCATCAACCTGTTTGTTCTTGAGAAAGCTTACGAATCTTCAGTCGTGCAACTTTGATGTGCCGAACATGATCCTTCCGTATCCGGACTCCACGAAGAATCTGCTGGCCTGGGTGAGCTCGAGGGCGACGGCCTGCAGAAGCGTGTGTGAGCAAAGTCTCGCACAAGTGGCATGTTGCTTTGCCTTCCGCATGGCATCTGTTTTCCTACTAAGGGTAATGTGGAGTTAGCCGTCTCTGCAGCGTAGTATTGTTGCACCTCATGTGACCCCAAGCCTCAGCACTTGAAATGGGTTTGTGCTTAAATACTGCGACCTCCGAGACTTTTTTCTGGGGTCTTGAAAAATCTAGCTCGGACATGTATTGCAATCCGTTGACCGGACCCTGTACAGCACCAACCGCTGCAAAACTCATCATGGCATATAATTTATAATGGTGGAGCCTGTCTTCGCAGCATCTTCAACTGATACAGCACATGCAAGAATGTCCGCTGGAGCCTCGGCATCCTCGGCCTCGAGCAGCCTCGCCTCATCCTAGCCAAGGCCAGAGCTTGCTTTGAAGTCTTCCGCAAGCTCTCGAGATGTGTGCCTCGGCAGCCTCTTCTGCTTTCCTGCGCCACGGCCCAGCCACCTCAAGGTTTGCTTGGCAGTTGCCAATCTCTCATAGCAGCATCCATCGTACACATTGCAGGGCATGCTATCCTTGTCACTTGGCACGAGTTGATGAAGGTTCTCAGCTGATGATAAAGGCCCAAGCGCCCTCCACCTTTGCCCGGCTCGGTGCTGCCTTTGGTGCCCATTTTGTTGGCGAGCTTGTTGGTGACTTAGTCTCGCGGCAAGGTGCATGTGCAGGCATTACTGCAGTGGTCCTGCGAAGGTCTTTCCTCTTACTTCTGCGCATTCCAAGCTCCAGGCATCCCCCATGGACTTCGCGGTGAAGACCTGGAAGATGAAGAAGCCAACACAGCAATCTGCATGCATGGCAAGGATTCTGGGCTGGCAGCATTTCCTTCTTGGACCTCCGTGGCCTCCCAATGCTTCTGGTGCACCTGCAAGAACACTTAGTCTTCGGGCTAAGATATGCACCAAGACTTTGCAGGACCAAAAAAGGGGTGCATGAGCGCCAAGCCTGCTCCTCCTCATCCTGAATTTGGCTGTGCAGAGGTACCTCACGCGCTTCTCAAGCCACATGGATGTACGCAGCTCTAGTTGATTTTTTGGAGGTCACCGGAACAGCCAGCGCCGCTCGAAGCGTACACACCTGAGAGAACCCTGAGAGCACATGCCAAGGTTTTAGACAGGCCGCTGATCTGTTGTAATGCCACGGCATGTGCCTGCGCGCTTCCAGACCGTGGTTGAAGCCAGGGTGATGCCAAGGGGCGAAGGCAAAAACTATGTCACAGCACACTTGCTCTACTCTTGTGGCTGGCTCAGGCTTGAGCAGTTCCAAGAGAGTGGTAGTTTGTGGTGTCCTCTCGCTTGCTTAGGCCTTCCCTTCGCGCTATCTTCTGTCGGCCTGCAGCACTGCTGAGATTAGGCTGCATCTCTCTTCTGGAGCTGTTGGCCTTCTTCATCCAGAAGACCGGATGCATGCAGGCTGTCAACGCCTCTGCGCTTCATCACAACCGCGATGCTCCGTCATCTCAAAAACGCTATTCACGACAAAGCATCCGTCAAGCCAAGGCTTGGACTCAGAGCTTCGGCCTTGGTTGTTGCCCTCTTCACATAGGCCGTAGAATACCAATACCATCCTATACCCTCTTCTTCTGGCCCTTGTACTTGAAAATCTGCACGAGCTTTGCTGACGCAAAGCTTCCTTTGCCTCTGCGATATGGTCGGAAACTTGGGACGAGTGACTGAGCGCTGTGCCCTACGCTTCTTCTTGTTGCCACGACTTGGACAAACATCAGCCCGCAAGGAGAGCTCCAGCCTGGCAAACGACGGCGTCTTCCCATGAGATCAGCTTGCCATCAGCTTTCAAACTGGAAACAAAGTTCAACATGACGGGGTACGTCTCTGACCTTGAGATCACTCAAGCACTTTTGCTCAGATTCTGATGAACTCTCTCTGAAGGGAGCTCCGCTGTGCGCAGAACTGCAGCAAAGGTCCCAAAGGGAAGCGCGCAACGCCTCGGATCAAAAGGTTCTGCGGAAGTGGCATGCGCTCACACCGCAGTCGCAGCTTAAGCGGGCATCTCGTAAGCAAATCAAGGACAAGACTATTTCCTACTGGAAACCTTGAAAAGCGCTAATGCTACGCCTTTCAAACCGCGAGTGAGGGCAAATTAATTCAACCCCAGTCTTGGTGGATCGCCATGGCCATGAATCGGCTGCATTCTGCCAGAGCCCTCGCCTCACCAAGAGGCTTTACAAAGCTGAAATGGATGGGAGAAGCTGCTGTGGACTGGAGTGCTACACTTGCTGAGCATCCATCCTGTGGCTTCCACCTGGCTGTTGAACACCCGTCCCATTTCGTCAGAAAAAAACATCTTATTCTCAAGCCTTCTTCTGCTTCGGGTCACGATCGTGTACCTCATCGTCGCTTAAACTTCTGCAAGACATCCCTCTGTGCATCCTTTCGGAATTAGCAGTAGAAGTTGCTTTCCTCACATCTCACAATGCAGCCCTCTGCCTCCACCACCAGGCCCTCGTGCTGCATCCACTCCCGCAGCGCATGAGGCGAGGCCAGGCCAAGAAGCCTGAGCCCAAGCAACAAACGCTGACCCGTGGAATGCAGCATAGCAATGCATAGCATGCATGGCATGGCAGATGCGGCAGATGTGTGGCTGTGAGCAGTGCCACACCACGGGCTCGCTGAAGTCCGCTGCCGTGTTGTGTGGCCTGCTGAGGACTCACGATGTGAGATCCCGTCAGAAATCGTCTGAAACAATCCATCTCTGGCGTCTGGCCATGTTGGACAGAATTGGCCTGCTCTCTGATCTCATACGAGGGCACGTTTCACCTCTGCTGGAAGTCATCTGCTGGACAAGCAGCCACAGATTGTTGCTGTATGACATGATTTGACTTGTTGACTCTGACCCGCAAGCAATCGCAAAGCCCCACTCATCTGCAACGCGGACGTCTTCTGAGTGCCCTGCTCAGCACTTGTGACGCACTGCTGAGTTTCGGATAGACTTCAACGTGAACAGCCTGCGCTCTACTTTGGGATGGTGATGCACGCAGGCCACATATGGCCACATCATTCCACATCAAAACACCTACGTTATGCAACTTGAGCTTGCACAAAGGTGTCCATAACGTTAGTGAGGCAGCGCACCGCACCTCACACTGCTGCGGCAGCCATGGCCTGCGACTCAGACTTCTACCGCTCTCCCGACATTTCACAAAACCAGCCTTGTACTGTTCTGTTCTATTAGGGTTGCCGGCTGGGGATCGCGCTCATTCGGCAAGCCGCGGAGCATTTCCACTCGAAAGCATGCAGGCATCAGCTTCCTGGATCCGCTGCAGCAGTTCCGTGAACGATCGCGTAATAGCGCTCAGCAAAGGCTGAGGATCCTGAGGCTGGGACTTCAGCATCTCCTCGCTGAGCAGGGGCTTATCCATTAGCACCTTCACGCTGAGCTCATTTCAGCTCCCCAGATTTTCCCAGCCCCCAAGCTGAGCTCTAAGAGGCTTGCGGTAACATCCAAACTGTAGAGTCCAGCAACCTTGGCCCATAACAGCTTCGGCGCGCATGCGTGCAACGCGTGCAATGCGAACCGATTCTGGCGAAAGTCAAGCTTCATACCTTGCCTTCCTATCGGATAGAAGTCGAGTAGGCCCAAACAATATTTGCGCTCCTCGTAACATGTCGAGGTGCCCCAATGGATTCTGTGAACGTAGCGGACACGGCATTTCGAGGACGGAGGCGCTTTGACCTGCAAATCACAAAGTTGCAAAGCCGCACGTACCGCCTCCAGTACCCTCCAAGCAGCGAATGCGACGTGGTCAGAATTTATTGCGTGCTTCATATGTGCCAGTTGCTGTTCCATCCCACCTCACCTCATATGCACACCAGTATTAGATTCTGCCGGATCCATCTTTGAATCGTGTCTGAAAACCGGAGCACCGTTCTGGGCAGCATGATTACGCCGTGTCCCCCTTTGGAGTTCTTGCCGTCTAGCCCATGACCAGAAACTAGTCGTTCTGGTGGTGCAGCAACCGTGACAGCCAAAGTCAAGCAAAATGCAGCATCGACAAATACATTCAACAACCCAGCAAGTAAAGTAAGATGCATCAAGCGAACTGTTCCGTGAACATGCATGTTGAAACTGACTAGACCCCCACCCTCAAGTCTTGCACTGTAAAACGCCGCACGCAATGTTACCCAGAAGGGCCACACAGTCACATATAAGCATGTTCTTGTGGCTTTCTAAATCAGATACCATGCAGTGTTGTAAGGGCATGGACATAGCAAAACCTGGAGAACACTCTAGAGTGGCCGTGTTTCACGGCAAGGTGTGGAACCAGAGCAATGAAGTGCGTAAAAGGACAACGAGCATGATCAGCAACTTCGATGTATTTCTCACACTCTGTCTGGAAAGTCCACCACTTATGGCGTACTGCTCTGGACTCTTGCGAGTCCAGGGAATGAGTAATACGAGTTCCTTGGTGGCTCTTCAAAGAATCCGATTGGTCCAATGCACGACCAAAGCCCTGTACAGAAGCCTCGGCGGCTCCCCAGGATAGTACATCTCCGGGCCTTGCAGGCAAAGCACGGCCCCCATGGTCGGCATGACAGGTCGTCGCTTCATGCTGCCATTGTCACTGTAGGCTGACGACTTAACGCTTTGCTTCCGGTGAGAAGCAGCGGTCCGAGACAAATCCTCGCCTCGAATTACATGCCATGCCGCCATGCGTTACTGTACCACATGCTCAGCATTGCTCAGCTCGGTCAGTAGGCCTGGCCTGGCTCGCAATCCCTTTGCCACCTGCGCATTGCTGCGCATTGAACGCTCAACTCTGCTGCTAACAGCTACCGCGCTTCACAGTCAAGATTCCGTGACTCGCGCTTGAACACTTCAAGAGTCCTAAGATGCACGGGCACCTTCCAGGGCAACGGTGACAGGCAGCTTGGCTTGCTGGATGCCTTTCACAAAGTCAAAGCTGACCTGGCAGCCATCAACTGTCAACTGCTTGCAACCTGAATCTCTGCACGGGCATGCTACTTCACAAGGCTCGGACATTGAAGCTGCCAAGATCCTTTTCGAAACTCGCACTTTGGGCACCTGGCTGACGTAGACAGGGGGGCATGAAGAAAGCTCATGCTTTGCGCTTCAGCCCTGCACTGCGTCCTCCTGGGCCAGCCTGCAAGCAGCCAAGATCCAGAGGCAAAAGCAAAAAAGTGCCCTAAAAAAGTAGCCTGGCGCGGCTTGGACTCGCAAGCGTTCAGCGCAACCTGCTTGAAACACCTTATGAAAACCTCTTCCAAGGTGCGGATCTGGTAGGGCTGATAAGGTTAGGACGGTCACAGGCGCTGCCAGAGCCCCGGTTGCATCCAGGAAGGGCCTCGGCTATGTACAGTATGGTCTGAACCAAAACCTGACGCGAATGTCACAACTAAGTCAGGCACAGAGAAACCGAACAGCCGGCAACTGACGGGTGAAAGCTGGCCTGCCTTAGCTCAGCTCAGTGATTGTTCCTGCTGTATATTGAAGATTTCGTTCAGCCCAGCTAAGGGCCCAGCAGCTGGAGCTTAAAAGCAACATTTCGGGGTTCAAAATCCCATGTGAAAGGCTTGGCCATTCAGGGATTCAACTCCCTTCCTTGCGCAAATGCCTCAGCAAGCACTTTTGCTGTCACCGCCCAATGTGTGATTGATTATGACAACTGAGTGGCAGGCAAGGCGTGCAGGGTGGCAACACTTGTGCCAAAATTCTCGGTGAAACACTACATGCCGCCCATACCTACAGAAGCTTTGGAGAACATTGGGCGCTGCGGTCCAAAAGCGAGGTGCTATCCCAGATAGCTGTGGGATGGAACAAGCACTGGAGCATGGCTGGAACTCAGCAGCAAACAAGGCGGAGTCGGAAATTACGTGCAAAGCATACAGTCTGTAGCCAGGATGCAGCTCAGACAAGAAAATGGCTTAAAGCACGTCTCAACTCATTGTTTTGGCTTGCTGCGCAGGTGCACATGCGCAAGGTGCAAGTCGCTATGAGACCAAGCACGGACTGCACGGGAACATAGCTCTCAAACAAAAGCCATGTTGTGTCAAGGGAGGCCGTGTGGCGCAGCCTTGAATAAGCTAGAGATTTTTGCCGTGCTCCGCAAGCGATTCTCGCAGGCACGAGTCAAATCTCTTCCTGAGGCATTGCGGACACTGACACTCTGCGCTGCCAAGATGCTTGTCACTGTGTCGCTGCCAAGCTGCACTCTGCACATTCTTGTAAATTTGGCCCATCAAGCCACCAGTCCTTGCAGCCAGGCACAGCCTGATTTCGATGACAAATGTTGCTCGCCAAAAGCTGCTTCTTTGTTGGCAGCACAGCTGGAGGCATCTGGAGGCTGCACATTAGAATTATTTGTACGCGCCGCCCAAACCTTGTAACACGGTTTAACCTCATATTGTCTATAACCGTGCGCATGGCAGGGGAATGGGCAAGCAGCGGCTGTTACACAGCACCACCCGCGCAGGCACCGATAACGCGCAAACCTAGTGGCGCGGAAAAAAGGCACCTGACTCTTCACGCGTGCCGGCCATCAGACATTACACATGCGTAGGGTCACTGACGCTTAAGGCTGTGTGTCTATTATCCGCCTGGTAAAAGGGCTCAGGGCTTCTGGTGGCTTGCGATGATTGTACGATATCTTATTGGGGGTGGTTTACAATGATCGAAGCTGCCTCAACACCATCATAATCACTATAAACGATAAAAGGACCAAATTGGGAGCCTTGGGGTAATGTTGACCTCATATTAATACACCCCCCCGTAATTGCAAAACCCAATTCACAGAATGTAATTACAAACCACCCCCCCCCCCCCCAGCCCGTTTTTGCAAAATCCAAGCTGCCAAAACGCAAAATTTTGGAAGCGCCGCAAGAGCCATGGGTACTTTTGGCAAGTACTACTATTGGCTGCGACTTCCGGAGCTCGAGCTCATGGACCCGGATACACTTAGTTATAGAGGCTCGGGCCCACATCCTTGGGGGGGTTGGGGGGAGGGGTGTTTCTATACCATGAGGTGAACATTATTTGCGGAGCACAAGTTGGGCTGGCCAGGGAAAAGTAGGAGGCGCGTGCATCCTCACCCATCCTTGAGTCAAGAGTGGGATTCAAGTGATGATGGTCTGTGGGTTTACCCGCATACTACCTTGCTGCCCACACTTGGCGCAGCAAGTCCCCGAGGGGTCTTGAAGAGAGACCCTGCTTTTGATTTTGTAGCATGCCAATTGTTGGGAGGGGGTCTGGTTTCGAGGAGGTGCCACATTACGTTTATGTCCCCTTCCGTGCCACCCTCTATTACAGAACACTTGAAATGCAAGCATGTTACATAAACTTTGTTGAGTTGTTACAGCTTCTGTCAAGGTCATGCGTGGGCGGTGGGGGGGGGGGGAGGTGTATTAAGCGTGTTTTGCATGATGCTGTCCAAGTGCTGTGCTCTTGACGTGTACGGTCATGTTCATACAAGCGTTGATACATGCTTGATATTGCTCAAGGTTCTGGAAGTACAGAGTACCCTGCCCTAAGCAGTTGAAAAGAGACGCAGCTACAGACTGCGTGAGGCTAGTAACACCCGTGTTCATCTCAGGGCTTGGGGTTGTCGCGAAAGCCGATGCGGGCCAATCATTTACATGTCCCTATGTAGCCCTTAGACGATAGACTATAGACCGCAAGCTTCGGAGCTTGGACCTTGCAAGAGCTGAGCTTACCACACTCCGCAGCCCTTGCCGGCTCCGACCTGTCAGCGTGGGGCCGAAATATGACAAACATGCTAGCGGCTGCTAGCAAAAAAACGTCTCGAAAGCACATCTTGCGACTGAGCATGCTACAAACTTCTTTGTGTCCCACATCTTTGATGCCTCAGCATGGCTTCATGACCTAGACCTTGTTTGTTAGACTGCAGAAACTAAGTGCAAAGCAACTTGCTTGTTGTGCATGTCTGTGTTAAGCATTAACCTGCAGCCATATTACTTACTTGGAGAAGGGGCCATGCGGCAGAAGCTTCCAACAGATTTCAAGGGGCGTTGTGTAGGCCAGGCCGAAGAGGACTTCATCCGGCTTACGATAGGTCTGCCGCCTCAGCACCAGAAGTGTGAAGTCGGTTTCAATGCTCAGCCCATGCTAAGGTCTGAGCTCCTTCTCTGGCAGCATCGATGCCTCGAAGCCTAGCCCAAAAGCATGTGAAGGAGTCAAGCCGGCCACCAGAAGCATCGAGAAGTTCAGCTTTTAGTGCGGGGCATGAAAGGAACGCAGCATCAGCAACCTGAGCGCCAAAGCGCAAAGCCGGCCCAAATGCAGCCTCTTCGAGCTTCTCATGGATGTTTTGAGGCTGACGCCAGCGCTTCTGCAAAAGCTTCTATGACTCGTTGCACCGGGTCGGCCTATGACACGCTAGCTGCCATAACTGGTCTCAACAATAGATAAAACTGGCCGTGCAACCAGGGCCTCGAGCTGCGACATCTTGATGGCATTTGCAAAAAAGGATCGCATTGCTGAACTGGGCCGAGGCTTCAGGTTGCTTCTGCCAGCTCACTTTGCTGCATGCTCTTGCAACTTCTAGCAATGAAGTCGACAATCAACACCGAGCTAATCTTAGTTTCCAAAGCTGCTGGCACAAAGAGATTGCCGTTGCTCTTGTCATCCGCTGTGGATGAAACACCGCCAACCATCCCCAAGATCCAGTCCTGAGTAAAGTTATGCAACAATCAAAACTAGGCGCCCTTCTCGTGCAACGTTGCGAAGCTTTGACAGCATGCTACCAGCACCCTTCCCCGACGACACTATTGCACCAACACTTGAGGGGTCGGCAGTCCGACTACTCATCCGCCTCCTAAGGGACCTCACCAACAAGCAAAGTGAAATCAGATCGCACACAGGACAGCTGGAAATCCAACATGTTCACGTGAGAGACCTGACGTGGGCATGTGAGGGAAACATGCATTTGCACCCGCTTACATTACACGACTTCCACATACTTCCACTGGGCTCAGCTACTGAGATCGAGCTCGAGGGCGCGAAGATTCGGAAGCGTTTGCTTGCCCCACCGAATTGCTTCTGGATGACCTGAAAGTGCTGGAAGTGAATCACAGACATTCTAAGCGCTTCTCAGGCCCCGGGCTGTCTGCTACCAGGCGAGCTGGCGGCACTCTCCTGCTAATTTCGTCTGGTTCCGAAAGGATCCCACACATCAAGGGGCCAGCGGAGCGGTCTGAGCTGAGAGAGGAAATACTGCTTGGCATTAAGGACTGTAAGCAACCGCTGGCCAATCTGGATACCTCTGGGATCTCCAAAGTCTGGCGCCATTCCACACGCCTGAGCTGTTGGCAGACTCTACCATGCCAGGCCACGACTTAGGGGAGGGAGGATCCTAAAGATTGTTCTGCGACAACATTCCAGCATACTCATGCGAGCTCTGCACGGAAGAAACTAACATGCACACAGCTATGCCGATTGCACGATGTTTGACTCGGCCGCTTGCCATTCTGACTCCCACAGTCTTGTGTATGCCTGCGTGTCAAGGTGGAAGTCCGTCGAAACAAATTCAGGCTGGAAATGCAGGCCACTGCCTTGAGTAGCTCTTTGCAGTGAGGCTTTGGACTGCCTTGGTAGCCCCTCTGTTGCTCTGGCTGCACGCATGCTGCAATGCCCCCATGTGGCCGTGGGTGTTTTGGCTTGTAGCTCAGCCGCAAACTGAGAAAGCGGGCGAGGTTCTGTCGATCAACCTCATCGCGAACATGTCATTGCAGGAAACTTCCAACGCAACACGTTCCATCGAGAATCCAGCCCACCAAGTTGTTAAGACTTCGGCCTCCTCTAGTTTGGATTTCACATGTCCTGCTACACAGTCTATACAGCCCTTGTAACGGGAACGCGCTTTGGATTTCTTGGTCCTTGGAAGTTGGTTAACACCCGGGTACACAAACAAACCGCGAATGCAACTGGCGAAACATCTTTCCAAGCAAAGGGGCCAAAGCGCAATGGGCTGCCTGCAAATAGACCCATGCCTTGGCAACACTTTCTACTGCACAGGGGACCTTCCCTCGCATAGCATCGGGTTACCGGCTTTTTGCTCTACGGTCAGGTCGAGGTCAGGGCAGGGCTCAGGCCTTGCAAGTCATCAACTTCACCGGGTCACCAGTGACACATGCAGGCGGGTACGCAGCTATGAGAAGACCTAGGAATTCGGCAAGGAGATGCCAGGTGCGAGTTTCTCCACCTCGGCACAGCGAAGGGGATTCCAACAACCCTGCAAGCCTGTCAAGCCTGGCTTGCAGTGGTATGATCCTTTTTCGAGAGAGAACCATTTCGCGGAATGCAACCAAGAGTAGCAGTAAGCCATTCAAGTCAGGCTTGAAGTCGGAGAGGCCGGCATCTGGTTTTGTTGTCGTGCTCTATCCTGGTGCCGGCTAGGTTGTGGGACCCCGTAAATCCGCGTGCTGCGTGACCGTATCGAATGGCGTGGCTTTCGCCTCACGGGCACTTGTCAAAACTCCTTTTCCAAGGCAGGTCAGAAGTGGTTACGGTCGGCCTATCGCTTTTGCGAAGTTGTGCTGTGAAACATGCACAAGTATCGCTTTGGCGTATTCATGGGGAACTCTTATGGGGCAACCACAGGTACCCAAGCAGCACCAAGATTTGGACGCGGTGAGCTGTGGCAATTCTTTCCTCCTACACGAAGAGCTTCAAATTCGGAGCCTTTTCAGGTTTGCACAAGCATCACGAATGGAACCAAAGCATGCAAAACATCGGAGTATCAACGGCAGCCAGATTTTGTTGCAGCTGCGTGTTTTGGTTTTCAAAGGGCTTGGCTGAATGAAGGTGTTCACCCTTGCTTTACGTTCTGGATCCAACAGCCCCCCGCGTTGCCACCCCAAGGCCAGCGAGAGGGTGTGTGTTGATCTCCTCATCCGCGTGTTGAGATTTTCTGACTTTCTTGACACTTTGCTGCCTAACTCCAAGGACAAGCGGGTCTGCAATCCTTGCGGATTTGCACTCTCTGTTGATAGAGGTCATGGATCAACAGAGCAACACGTAGCAATAGATCGAGCCCTGCACTGTGCAACCCACAGGTCAAGCCAAGGTTCGCTGGCTGCTGGCTGAGGTTACTGCTTCCGATTACGCTACCATTTACCCTTGTAACTTGTACGTCTAAAAAGGCATGTCTGCTGAAAGGATTCCTGCCAAGGGCTCCACTGCAATTCTTTGCCTGGTGCCCTCCGCATTGCTACGTGCGCGAACCTGCCACAAGTCGCAAGTTATGATAGGCAGGTACTCAAACTTTGGGCCGCACGTCTGCACCATCGACTTCCATCATCTTGCCGGTGGCCATGGATCGAAAATGCACCTTGTTGCAGGCTAGCATCTGAAGTTGGTCCATGAGCACAACAGAAGTGCTCGGCTCAGCTTCTGGCAGATGTGCCAGATAGTACCGGCGCAGATGTGGAGGTTTTTGCCTCTGCTGGCCAGCTGGTCCAGCTTCAAGCTTCAGGAAACCGCAGCCCATATCTTCAGAAATAGCAGCAAACTTGGCGCGCAGATTTGACAAAGACTCTTCGGTTTACCAAGCCCAATGCAACAAAGCGCAGGGAGTTGTCGGAGGCTCCATCTGGCGAATCTCTATTTGCTGGGTCTACTCTGGCCACTCTGCACAGCTCCGTACAGCTTTCAGTGCGTCCTTTTTCCGTTGGCTCCAGCTCCGCCTTTGGCTCCCGCAAGCTTGGTATTTGCAAGTCAGCCCCTGATCTGGCTTACTGAGACTGGCAACTGGTATGTTGGCAGGTCCTCACAAAAAGCTGCTTGACATGCCCCAAACTGCAGACCCCTATGATAAATTTGAGTTAGGACTCCAAGAGCGTGTGCTCGGGACGCACCTGTGATGCTGTGAAGGCTCGAGATGGCACAGCTTTGTGGCTCTTAGATGCTCGTAGAACCCGCACAGCTGCAGAGGATGCTACAGTACCCAGGCAAGCTCTTCGTGATTTGCTCAAAACAAGTGGATCCTCGGGCTTAGCACGATGACGACTGCAGCTCGCGGTCCAACTCGGTCATTTTTGAGTCATAAGCTCGAAGCTCTTCTTCCTCTACTTCCTCTGCCCCATCGTCCTGCACAGCTCCCTGCCAGTCTGCGGGAGCCCAGGGACCTCGGCAAGAAGAACCCTCGCTCCCGGGGCTTCTGGGGACGACTCTCGAATCCGTACTGTCAGTGTGGTCGAAGAAGTTCCACTGTCAGTGGCATGCTGCCACCACGCAGCACGCAAAGCCGTGCCAAACTCCCGCTGAAGCCGCTTGGCCACCTCATCCCAGCTCTCTGGTCGAGCTCAGATCTCGAGCCAACCGATAGCTTGCCAGAAAAGGCGTGTTTGGATTCTCAACAATCTGACATCAAGGTTTCCCTGCACTTCCTGCCTTTCTGTGTCAAGCCCACATCGGCGGAAGGCAGAACTGCAAGCCTGCAAGCAGGGTATCTGAAAGGCAAGCCATGAGCAAGATAGATTGCTGGGAAAGCTAAATGTCATGGAATCAGGTGTGTTGATTGCAAATCCGAGAAGCCACTGGCTGCGCCCGTTTGCGGAGTCAAGCTTCAACCCCACTCGACCTTGACTGGTTGCTAATTGTTGTGCGTATTTTTAGCTCAGTTTCGGAGATGCAAAATCGCGGAGTGAAGCTTGCAAAAAGAAGCTTGCCCACCGATCAGGCCAAGATGCTCCGTCAAACAGATAATCATCTTGGAGGTCTGTTGAAAGTTGTGCTGTCTTTGTCTTCGCTACTAGAACCTGGAATCTACAGTATTAAGGCTGCCAGTATCCCAACGCTCGGCTTCAGCGAGATTTGCGGGCGCTACGGAAATTTGAGGCCTCAGATCACCACCCGTAACAATGACCAGATACAGTGCTAGTTCACGAAACCGAGCAGACTCAGGCAAGGAACGCCGGAACATTGAGGGACATCAACCTGGGCACTGACCGCGACACTGGCTGCGACAGGACGTGGTCCAGGCGACACTAATCCGAGCGAGGCACGGCCAAGGACATGGATCCGAGAAACGAGCGCGACAGGGCCGGACATCAAGGTAGAAACAAACTAACCGGAACAAGGATGTAAGGACACCAACCAGGAGACTGACCAGGACCAAATGCAACCATGACTGGTTAACGAATGTTCCGAAAAAATTAGCCGCGCGAAGCCGGGCCAAGGGTAAATGCTGGACCCCAAACCTGGCGGCAGTGGGAGAATATGTTTATATATACATATATACACAGACGCACATACATATGATGTGGATATCTCTCTCACAACCGATTGCAAGACGAGTGGTGTAAAGGATGGTGCAGCAGACCTCAATGGCCCACAGGAGCCACTGGCTGAGGCTTGAACCGCAAGCGCTCTTGGCACTGGACGAGGAAGCCACAAATTCGGGCCAAACCCCAAAAACTTTCAAGGAGACCACACTCCATCCTCGACTTGTACTCACAGTTCCTGATTTGTATATGTCAAGGCTGCAGCATCAAACCAACAGCAGCGCAAGATCTTCCTTCCCATTGTGTGGGGATCAATGGTTTGGGAATGCCCTGCAAGCCAGTGAGCTGCAACCGATTCCAAAGCTGCATCGCTTCACAGATCCTGGAAGACGTCAGCTGCATCGAGATCCAGACAATCGTTCTTCAAGGCGGCGCCCTTGAACTCAATCACCTAGATTATTGCGTTCATGCCAGATCAACAACGCAATCAATCTTATAGACCATGCGCCGTACCATGAGGTGTGTTTTTTCTTCTTAGTAAACGTCTTGGGCTGCACAGTGCTGACCGCTGGGGGAGCAGAAGCTGGGACCTATGCAAATGCTGCGGCTTGTGCCCGATCAGCAGCGTTGCAAAGCACTTGCGTGCCTCACTGTCGTAACAGTCAGGCTAAATCCGTTGTTCTGCGGGAGGAACTTGCTCGGTGCTCTTCTTTTCGAGCACTGTCAAAGCAGCGAAACCTTTCTTAGGCACGTTGCCATCCTTGACAGCCATCCTGCAAAGACAGGCAGGCGAAGCAGCGAAGGCAACCGAGCATGCGTGACTTCCTTGATTGGCATGCCATACTGAACGACAAGTCAGATACGGGACAGGTAGTGCTTTGGCCCGGTCCAGCGTCCAGTGTGTCCCCGCAGGTAGACCTCATTCACAGAGAGCTGGTCGCTTCGATTGGGAGCATGAACCTGCTTGTAGCATGAACATGCATGAACCCTGTGTTTGAAGATGCATCTCAGTACGGTGCCGTGTCGTTCGGCTTGATTTGGCCGCTCAGGCCAACACTGTCCAAGACTTCCTGCAGTGATGGCTGTGATGGCTTGGTGAAGTAGCTGCTGCATGCGGCCACCAGGCGCGAAGAGAAGGCTTAAAGCGAAGAGAAGGCTAAGGCTTGCATTGCAGAGGTCCTCCTTGTGGTTGTCCTTGACGGCCAGCATCTGCAGTATCTCGAAAAGCGTCCATCGGTCACTTTCCTGAAGACAGGATTCAGAAATTGCGGTGTGCCGCACGAACTTACTAGCAAAGACCAACACCTCTGATCCAGCGCCGGCAGATCTCTCCATCCTTAGCCTGGCGTTCGGGACTGCCGCCCGCGACGCTACTCAGCAGGTGTGACTTCGTTTTCTTTGATGTCACTGAACACCATTCCGAAATGCGTGCGCTGCATGAAGGACGCGGGGGCAGCGAACACCACACAAGGAGTAGAGAGGCCTGACGCAACCGTGACCATGAGGGCACTGAACGTTTGACCCATTAACCAGGCGTGCTTAGGGTACAGTAGTTAACACGACAGAAAGAACAGAGAGGTTTGATGCAAACGGCGGCATGATGTATCGGCACCATGACCACGTAAGGGTAGAGGAGTAGGGAGGTTTGATGCAACATCTACACCCTACCATGAACACACAAGGGTAGTGAACACGAGAGATGGAGGACGGGGACCTGCTGAAACCACCAAGCATGGTGCTACTCGCACCATGACCGCACGAGGGCAGCGAACACTACGGAGCAGGGAGCTTTTATGCAACCACTAAGCCTAGACCAGGACCATGCCAGGCTAGCGAACACGACAGACAGATTGGCGAGGTTTGATGCAACCACCAAGAGTCATTCATACTAGGCTCTGCAAGGGTAGTGACCACTATTGAAGGAGTAGAGAGGTTTGATGCCACCATCAAGCCTAGGGTCATAAGCTAGTGAACATGACAGAGAAAATGGAGAGGCTTGATGCAACAACAATGCATGATTCTATCGGTACAATGACCGTGCAGGGGAACAGAACAAGACTCAGGGAGTCGAGCGGTTGGATATAACAACCCGGTTGGATATGACAACCAGGCATGATTACATTCGCAGCATAACCATGCAATAGTACTGACGAATTAGGGGAGGCCTGCTGTAGCCACAGAGCATGATGTTACTCGTACCATGGCCACCGACAAGTGGTGGTCGATGCTAAGTCTATGAGTAGATCCCCTCCATTGCAATCGTTGGAAAATCAATATTGTCCACCCGGAAAAAGTTCAGATTCCCAAAACCCAAGATTTCTGTGACAGAAACAATGTTGACCCCCACTTCCCGCACCCAAGCGTGATGCAATCAACAGTTCGCAGCTTTCCAGACCTTGTCTGCCCCCCCCGGCTGAAGAAGCAAGAGACCTCAAGCCTAGCTATAGTGGCTTTCGCAAATCAACTTGCAATCAACGTCGTGGGTCTGCCGCGTGCCTTAGCCAAGCTTCGTGGCCTCCCTCTTGAACCGCCGCCTGGAAAGGATGAACATGGAACATTCTGTTGTAACCCTGTCACAACAGGCACCGAGACTACCCAAAACGTGCTCCATTGCCCAACTTTGCGCTTCGCACGAAGGCATCCGCGCGCCTGTCCCGAGCGCTCGGGCTCCTTGCTGCTTCTAAGAACATATGCGTACGTACCCCTTGAGGGCAGTGTGTTTGCAGACACACTATACTTCCGACTTGAATAAGCACCTCGGAAATCTCATCAACCACGGTGCTTGTGTCAGCCTCCTCTGCAGACCTTGCAAATGCAAGACCAAACATGTTCCGCAAGGTACGCCAAGCGCACGGCCATGGTGGCGTCTGCTCCTACGGTGGGCAGCACGCAGGCAGGAGCAATCGCATCGAACCTCATCAGACTTTGCTCTTTGACGTTTTGATGCGGGTCGTCCTCACTGCGGCCGCTACCGCCTGCAAACATGGAGGTACAGCTCTCACACGTGGTCATCTCCTGCCAACAGCCCTGCAAGACTCAGTCCAGGCCTCCAGCAACTGTCTCCTGCTCATGCTAGGCAGCTGTACTACAAACTCGCAGACAATGATTGCTACATGTTCCCTGGCACTATCATGTGCATGTTACAAATGATTCATGTGAACTGAGGACAGAACTAACTTGACCTCTCCATCTTTGATGTCCTTTTCCTCCTGCCAAGAGATCTGCCCATTCGGCCATTCGGGACCACACACCCGCCACGCCGCGTTTGCTACTGGTCCTTGTCAATCTCACGCTTGGACTTGTCCTTTTTCTTCTTCTTTGGCCTTCAGTGCCCGCACTATTCTAGTACATAAACGAAATACCAGTAAAGTGAACACTCCTGTACATTGAAATTGCCGTGCTTATGCTGGGAGCGAGGCAGGGGACTGTCAGCAAGATCTGAGGATTGGGACTGTGCAGAGGAGGTTCGTGCCTGAGATCTTCGTAGCTGGTCTGTGCCAAGAGAAGAAGCTTTGTCCAGGATCACGACCCGTGGCTGCTCCTTTAAGCCGGAGCGGTGCCGCAGAGATGGCCTCAGCAGGAAACCACAACACGCAATTGAATGGCGATGGCGCAATATCCTGTCGCAGAACCTGCAGTCTTTCAGAGGACAGGCTGTCAGCCGGAGCACGAGGTTTCAGTGCTCACTGGGCCAAATGCGCTGTAGAGGAGGCAGATGACGGGCGTGACTTGGCAGCACTGTTCGGCGCCATCTGCCTCAGCAAGACTACCTCGCAAGCGCACGCTGCTAGGAATATGTGACTATGACTTCGGGTAGTCACCCGACGGGATTGGACTTTATGACTCTTTGACTTCATCTGGAAATTGCGAAATACTGTATGATCAAACGTCTGTGCTTCGCCGATCAGAAAAAATACTGAGCTGCCAGGCAAGACCGGAGCTCCGCTGACATCAAGCCAGGCTACACTGCCTCAGCATTCAAAACCCCGCAAGGCTTTGGAGACTTTTTTCCTTGAGAAACTCCCAGTACGTTGCAAAAAGCTGGTCACCCTGCGTTTCTCCGGTGCTCTTCCAACTATCCCTCTATCCTAGGCCCTACGAGTCTACCTGTAGTCCACTGCTGAACGGAAAGCTGGAGCAATGAGGAAGCCAAGCATCTTGCCCGATCCGATGCAAGGACCACCCCTGTAAGCATCGCTATCGGTCCTGCAGAGATGCGCAGCGCGCATCCCCATGCATTCCCATCCCAAGCGCGTGCAGCGTTCAAACAAGCCCGCTCGGCACAGCCAGGCGGGATCGCGGCATCCACCCTGACCATCCCAGAGTTGGCCTTGGAAACAGAAATACCGTAGAGTCAAGCTTGACAGTGTTGTCAGAGCAATTGTGGATTTGAATTTGAAGCATTATTCTACTGCAGGCTTTGAGACTGATGTCTTGCCATAGCCCAGATTTAGCAAGAGCATGTGACTCCGCACGCTACTGGCTTAGCAGTGCAGGAAAGCTTCTGCTTTTCCATACTTGCCTGCACTGAGATTTGTCTAAGGGCTCTGAGAACTGCGATGGAGTGGCCCATCACCAGCAACGGCAGCAAAAGAGCCGGCCTCAGCCACAGCATCAATGTATGAAGACACTCCAGTTGTCTCAACCAGGCCTCTGCCCTCAGCGCTGCAGCCTCACAGAATCGATGACTTGGCTTTTGTCAGTTCTGGTGCGCTCTTCTTACAGGCTTGGCTTGGGACGAGCGTGCCACTTCGCATGGTAGGCGCAAAGCAGTCCCACCTTGAGAGGCGTGTCCGATCTGAAGCTCCCAAGGGTTCATGGTACCCTTGAGCGCCACGCAGAACAAGCTTTGCCAAGGCCTGGGCAGGCGTCAACTTCACAGACGCGGCCGATCTGCTGCATGTCTTAAGGAGACCACCCCCAGGACAATCGCTGGCGATGCTGCGTTGCCTGTAGGCACTGAACTGCCAGACCTCGGTAGTTGACGAACGCAAGATCAAAGATCGGTTTTAGTCAAGTTGCATTTGAAAGAGGCGGCTGTTCGGTATGACCTGTGACTGCGAAACGACTGCACCAAGCAAGTCGTGGCTGGCAACACGGATGCAATCTTGGAATTTGCAGCCTTGCAACTGCTGAATGCAGGGGTCCCTAAATGCTAAGGCAAGGTCACAGAGCATTGGTCAAGCAAAGTCAAGCCTGGCAAGGAATCAAGAGTTCGACTCATGGCATCTTTGAGGTTTAGTTTTGGTGCCTCTGCGCATCCCTGCTGACAATACATTTGTTGTCCAACATATTGGGCTGGCTAAACAACACAATTCTTCCAAGCTCTCAGTCCGCAACTGCTGCTTGGCGGTGTCTCACCGCCTGTTTGCCACCTCAAGTCTCAGATCTTTGTTGCCAACTTCTCCGGGAGAAATCCAACAGCGACCAGATTCTGCATCTTCCTCGGTGCTGCGCAAGCTTCCGGCATCGTTGCCAGTTAAGTCGGTGCGTCCCACTAGCAGCGAGCCTGACCTCAAGTCACGACTCTTGCAAACTGGAGCAGGTTCAGCATTACATCTACAAGTATGCAGTTATTGGGCTTCTTTCTCAGCAGCACAAGTTCAAGCATGCACACTGCCAAAGAAATCGCACCGCAAGTCTTCAGGTGTTTTGTTGACTGCCATCAGAAAGCATAGCATTGCTCTGCTCCTAGACCAGCTCTGTCCTCGTAAAGATGGAAGTGCACCTGTGTTCCCGAGGACAATGCCTCCCCATTAAGCACGTCTTTGGAATGGACATAAAGCTGCCCCTTGTGGGCATATGCCTTTGGATGGTTGACAGCATGTTCGGGCTCTATCCAGCCCACTTGCCCCTTCCAGGAAACAACTTTACCCGTGAGGGGTTCCGGACTGATGCGTGTTCGGGCCAGGTGAGGTCCGGAGAATCGTGAAGATTGGCTCATTTTTGCGCTTGTGGGCGTCGGTGCGTTCGGTGGAACCACCTGAACAGCTGCGACCAAGTCGAACACATGCTTCTCCGCGCGGATGATGCTCTGCATCTCGCCCTCAATAATGCAAGGGCGCTGTCCTCGCACTTCCTCACGCAGCAACTGGATCTTTGCATCCGACTGCTTGCGAATCTGTTTCAGCACCCAGCCCTGCTTGCCAATGATCACACCAGCAGCTTCTGCACGCACAAAGAGCACCACGGCTGTCTCTGTTGTGGGTTCCTTGCCCTGCTCCTTGCCCTCTGCACGCAAGGCATCCATCAAACGTCCGTGCACTAACTCCTGTACAATGACACACTGCCCGTAGTTGCCGAACATAACAATACGATGGTCGCCAATAATGCGGTGCTGTCCCACGGTCTTGCGCGAGATCATGCGCACTTGACAGCCAAGAGTTGCGGAGATCTGCTTCAGCTGCGGTCCGCTCTTGCTCATGATGGTGCCAGCTAGACGGTCCGGAACCACCATGTGTAACTGCATAACATCTGCTTGGGTGCTTGGCGGTGAAACTTCAACGGTTGTTATCATTGAGATGGAGCGCTTTGGCACAATCTGGGGCACATCGACCCGCGGAGGAACAATGATGGGACCTTGACCTTGCTCTGCAGGTCGTTCAGAGGGCGCGGGCGTACCTTTCACTACCGCTTCTGCAGGTGGAGCTTCAGCTGCTGGTGGCTCTGCTGGCTCTGCTGGCTTTTTGACAGGTGGGCTTTGGGTCGCCTGCGCCGCTTGCACTGGTGGTGTTGTGATGGGACGCATAGAAGGCGATGCACTCACTGAGCGAGTTCGCTTGGGTTTGTCCGCCTTCTCGGCCTCGTCTGGAGACTCTACCTCGTAGCACAACCACTCGTGTCTGCTCAAAGTTGCCAGATCTGTTCGCTGGCGAGGCTCGAGCTGCAGAAGGCCAAGCACCACAGACTTGGAGGTGTCACTGATCTTCAGTTTTTCAACAATCGTCTGCAGGTCCTCTTGCTTAAAAGGAATTTTTGAAAAGGGAAAATGCCCAGCGAGGAGCACGAAAACGAGCACTCCCAAGCACCACAGGTCTGAGCTGAAGTCGTGCGAATCTTCCCTGAGAACCTCGGGAGCAGTGTACGGCCGTGTCCCGACCGTAGATCGAGCCTCGCTGAAGCCCGCACCAATGGCCTGGCAGGGAAGTCAAACTCAGAGCAGCAACAGCACGGACAACAGCATTAAGCAACACAGCGGCATGGCAAAATGAGCTGCGTGCATCCGCTTGCCTTGGAAAGGCCGAAGTCGGTAATTTTCACGGTGTAGAGGGTGAGTGGTCGCTCCCGCCGCTCTCCATGAACCAGAACGTTCTCCAGCTTCATGTCGCGATGGATCACGCCCTGTCCTCAAAGTCACCGTAATGAGGTAAGCAATGTTCATTGATCTAGGAATTGCAGGGGCTCTACAACTAGCAGTAACTAGCAACCGCAACATCCATTGACTCCTCCCCTAGGCCGTGGTTGCTCAAAGCTTTGGTGGAAGACTACTTCTGTTCTCCGTCTTATGCTCTTACTTCCTGGCTGGGCCAGGCTTGCAACAGCCTCTGAGCCCATGCCAGGGTACCATGAAGGAAGGCAAGCCCATCGGCCAGCTGTGCCAAAACAAAAGCCGCCTCGCGCTCGTGTAGACGGGGTGGCTCTCGGTTCGTCAGAACCTCAACGCCAACGAAACAAAAAGCATCAAACACCCTCTCTCTCTTATCCCCAGACTCCATCAAGTCCAGGCGCGGTGTACAGGTCGCCCCCGCCAACCAACTCCAGAACCAAAAGAAACCATTCGCCTTCTTCGAAGGTGTCCACCAACCTTGTGCCCACGCATGCAGCTGGATGAAGTACCCTGCATAAATCACTCCCTGCCCTTACAGTAAGATGAACCTGTGAGCATGTAGGCCAGCCAACGTACCCTAAACCAGTCAGATTGAGGACTGCTGGCTTTTGTTGACACTCATACTGCAGGTGAAGCAGGGCAGGAACCCCTCGCTAGTTGCATCGGGCCTGATGAGCTGATTGAAAGAAGACATTTGCAAATTTGCAAGGTAGGGCTTTGAAGCTCTGGAAATGGTGAGGGCTTGGTGCATGTTGATTGCTTCTGCTGGAGCACCGAATGCCGGCGAAATCATGGGAAACAAGAAGTTGACTGCATGGCGAAACCATCCCAACCACTTTGAAACTGCAGCTGCCTCACCAGCGTAGTGCACCATGTGTGGTCTATGCCTTGCAGTACTTTCTGCAATCGGAGACGTGAAGCCGCCATATCCTCTGGCTTCAAACCCCCGCATTGCGACCACTAGCAGGGCAGCACGTGCCCTCCCTCAGGAACGTTCACTACAATGCTGGGATTATTTGCTGCCAACCCTGAGTTGCCTGAAGTCTTCTAAACTTGTTACCACTTACCGGTTCCATGCATCGTTTTTCAGGCAAGCCGCTGCACTATGTGTGGGTGCGGAGGTAGGCGCTTCAGAATCTCAACTTCTCGGCTGAGTTTCTTCTCCTCGCGCTCTGCATTAGGCTGAAAATGCAGCCGCCGCAGATTCACCGCTTTAACGGCAAAACCTCCACCCTCTGCGCCCTTCTTGTGGCAAACAAAAACTTGGCCAGATGCACCTCTGCCAAGCTCACGGCCCCTCTGGTAACCGTGAAAATATCTTGGTGGAGCACCTGCCTTGACTTCCACCAAATCTTCATCATCACTGCCACCTGTGACGTCCACCACTTCAGTGACATAGTCATCGCTGTCCGCATGTATGTTTACAATGTCCTCCTTTACAATGTCCTCCACCTCCATGCGCAAGGCCCGGACGAGGAAACATGAGGGCCCTTATCCTCTTGGCTCAACTTGGCTCCAAACGGCAACAGGGAGAGTACCATGGATTCAAAGCTTGAGCTACGGTCAGGTGGGGACCCTGCTCCTGAGGGTCTCATGCTCTGCAGATACAACAACAAATGGGAAGGTCGTTCCACTCACATGTTTGACCGCCGTGTTTACAAAATGGGCATGCAATCGCGCCTGCTGCCAGCAACAACCCCGAAATGGCCGTTGCCTGACAGTCTCAGGCGATGAAAGAAAAGCAGAAGAATGGCTCGAAGTGAGTCCATTGCGTGAGTGCACATGCCATGCCCCCGACGGCTGATGTCGGACGACTCTGCCAGTAAAGAGGCGTTGTCTGCCTTGAGCCACACAACATCCTGCAAGGACAAAACCAACTTCTCGTATGAGAAAGTCACATTTCAACATCGCTACACCTCAAATCTCTTGCAAAGTACAGCCTGGGCTCCGCCAGATACCACCGGGATGCTTGGAACCAACCAGCAATCCGAGCCCCAAGCAACAAATACGCCACCTTGACGATTGCTCTTGACCTGGCATCTCACCTGGCAAGAGCCAATCTCCAATACAACACTTTCTCAGCGCAAGCCGGGAGCCCAGCCATAGAAGCCGAAGCTCCTTCTACTAGATGCAAGCCATTACCTACAGCGCGTGACTTTCTGTTTGTCCTGCTTGGTTTGGCCAAAGCCACGCTTCAACCGATCATAAGCGCTGTCATTTCAGGCCTTCCGCACTCGTGAGGGAGCATCCGATCAGCAACAGCTTGGAATCAGCACCTTGGAAGCAAAACATCTTTCCAGCCGACGTGTCCACTGACAGAAGCACGTTTTCCTGCCCCTCTCAACTTCTACAAATGCCCCTCACGTTCGTCTAAAAAACCCTTTGAGCTTCAATAGAGCTTGACAAACGCTACGAAAGCTTCTCCTCCCAAGGGCTTATCATGCAGCAAGAGCACCAGCTGCACGAATGCAGTGCGTTGAAACCTCAAAACCAACACATGCTTTGACAAGCATTTGGTAGCGAGCCGGACTTTGGGCCCTGAGACTCTGGCATTGGAATTGCTTGATTGCGCATTTTGCGCATGCAGATCCTGACTGCAATCCGAACTGCGGCATATCCAAGGATCTGAAACGAGGTGGCAGTGAAGAGACTGGGGCTGTTGCACAGTCCACCAACACTGGTCGCCCTGCTCGCACCTGAAAAGGCTCGTGTAGACAGCTGTACGCCGCTTTGCAATGCTGCCAGGCTCCCATGCTGTTATATTCTTGTTCCATCTGCCTCCACACAGCTGGCCGGCTTCGCGGCGGGTCTGCCACATTAAGCTGCATGCTGCGGAATGGTCAAGCTGCAGCTCGAAGAGGCCGGCGCGAGAGGGTCAAATTCAAGCGCCAAAGCCTGAAGCACTGGGTGGGACAACAAGAGCTCATGGCTTTAGATGCAGACTTGTAGAAGACTCCCCTAAGGCTTGGGCACAGAACTTGCTGCACCTGTTTGAAAAACAACCTGGCATCATGCCCCAGCACCCATTGCTGTGACACACAACCTCAACTCCAACATCTATCAGATCTGTCAGAATCGGAGGGCTTGACCACTGGTTCTCCAGGTGGTCCACGGAGTTCACCCCGAGATTCCATGCCTGGAGCTCCAGTTTAGACATCGCTTGGCTTCCTTTACGTATCAAATAGCTGCGAAGCGGCCTCCTGAATCCCCGGGAGCCAAGGTCTCACCTGACCGGAGCTGAATTTCCCCATCCTGTGCCCTCAACCCAGGTCTCTCTCATCCACTTATCACACGGCATGGGTCGGTTTGCTGACCTGTTAAGTCTGGCTTGTATGCCACGGTCTCTAACTTAGGTTCCTGCTCTGCAATCTAGTCATGATGCTAGAAGTTATCTTGCCCACCCTTCCAGGCGTCATGTTGTTGCACGTGCTCACAAAACAGTCTTCCTGCTTTACTCATGTGTGGCAAGCTGGCTATTCAGGTGTTGTTGGACTCGTTTCGCCAGAATGCTAAGTCGGTACGCTTTCCTAGCATCGGGGTGAACTAAGCTCGGCTGATTCCAATTAATCTCCTGCAGCCTGCTGCTCTTTTAAGAGCTTCCGTGGATGTGGTCTTGCACAAAGAGGGTTCGAAAACAACCTATTCAAGCCTAAGGCCTACTACTGGAAATATACCAGGACAAATGGCCAGTACTGAGAAGGCAGCCATATCGCCTGAAAGAATGATGGGCTTGTCCAAAACAAGGGGCTCCTGTCATGCAGGCGACTGCTTTGGGCACTGACTGCTGGCGTGGGCAGGATAGGCAGGCGGGGGCACCTCTTCCTTGAACTTTACAAGCTGTCACGCGCTTGAAGGAAACAAATTGGACATTCAAGCCTTCCACAATGATCATCAATGATCCACGAAAACTCCCGTGTCATCCAAACGCAGCTAAGCTCAAAGAGACTTGTGTACTCAATTTGAACGACATGAGGAGAAGCAAAAACATGAAGCCAACCGCCGGAGAGCAAACACAGTAGAGTAGGAAGATAGCAGTCAGCAACAGAAATACTAGCAGAAGAAGTAGCACTGCTACTGCTGCTACTACTATAACTATCATTATTATTCTTACTACTACTACTACTACTACTGCAACGAGTACGAGAACGAGTACAAGACAAGGGGTCGGGATCACTCGGTGCCCGGGATATCGGAAGTTTTTGTCGAATCTGGAGGTTTTTGAGCACGTCCAATTACCAGAGCATCCATGCCCAAACCATGATTACGTTCGTGTTTCAGGCGCATGCGTTGAACAGAGCATGTTCCAGCAGCATACGGTGACAAGAGCATCCATGCCCAAACCATGCTAACCTTGGTTTTCCTGGAGCATACAGTGAATAGAGCATCCTTGCCCAAAACATAATTAACATTCGTGTTCCAGGAGATTCCAACAACATACAGTGAACAGAGCATCCATGTCCAAACCGCGAATAATGTTCGTGTTCCAGGAGCATATGGTGACGAGAGCATCGCATCCATGCCCCACCCATAATTAACGGTCTGGTTCCAGGAGATTCACAGCAATGACATTCGTGTTCCAGCAGCATGTGGTGACCAGAGCACCAATCCCAGACCACAACTTCATGTTTCAGGAGATTCCTGGGGCATACAGTAACCAAAGCATCCATGCCCAAACCATAAAAGGTCGTCAAAGGGCGACCCACTGGGCACATGCGCCCTCCATTTAGATGTCTTTAATCACGAGATGAGGTAGCCTTTACAGTCAGCAGGGCGTGATTGATATCTTTACGGACCTTCCCTATGTCTCTGAGAAGTGCCGTCCATCCGGTCAGAAGGGCGGTCCCCTACTAGGACAGCCCGCATGGGGCATCTCCCGTAATATCCCGTAATTTACAATACTTCTGCCTGCCCCAATAATTAAAAACATCATGGAAAATCAGCAAAAACTGAATCATTTGTCGCCAGAAGTGGCCTTGTTACAGATTCACGTGCTTCGGCCCCTCGATGCCAAAGCACTTTTGTTGACGCTGCTCCGCGGCTTGCTGTGAAAATCCACTTCTGCTCTTAATATCGGACGCCCAGTGGGCACGGTGACGACGACTACTACTACCCGCCACCCCTCCCCGCCTACCAACTATGTTCGCTGTAAATGCCAGCAGTTTTTGCGCGCACGCTCTTCGAGTTGACGTCACAATATGTCAATATGCCCCCACCCCTCACCTTACCCCGCCCACCCCACCCCCCCTCCCCGTCCCAGCATCCCCACGCAATACGCAAGCACAAAGCCTTTTGACATTGCACAAAAACCAATGTTTCCCCAGTTTTTTACCTGGTTTCAACGTGTGCAATTTGGGAAACATAGTTGGTAGGGGGGTGGGGGTACTATTACTACTACTACTACTACTACTACTACTGCTACTGCAACGAGCACGAGAACGAGTACAAGACAAGGGGTCGGGATCACTCGGTGCCCGGGATATCGGAAGTTTTTGTCGAAGATTTTGAGCGCGTCCAAGTACCAGAGCATCCATGCCCAAACCAGCCGTCTTTTCTGTAAGAAGGAGCGACAAATACCACTGCTCTTCGAGCATGGGAAATCAATGGCTCTTTCCCTTGTTCCTCGCTACAGGCACCTCGGGTCTCTGGTCCAGTTTGACGGCGCCATCACGGCTGAGCTCGCTCGTCGCATCGCTTTGGCCAGGGCGGCTTTCAGTGCCGGTCGCAGGAAACTGTACTGCTGCCGCATAGGCGGGTGGTCTGCTTCGGACCTAACGTGTTGAGCATACTCATGGCAGGTGCAGGCACATGGCCACAGCTCAACTCCGGGGAGGCTAGCATGTTTGAGGGGGCTGTCTTTTCTTTCTGCCGTCAGCTACTGGCCTTGCCACGAAGTGGTCCACAGCATGTCACCAGAGAGTTCGTTTTTTCTGCCACTGGGTGCCCCGGCCCTGTTGCCATGCTTCATATCGAGAAGCGTCGCTGTGTCGGTCAGCTTGTGCGCTCCGCCCCAGATGCGGTCTGGGCTGCCATCCAATTTGATTCGCCCTTCTTGGCAGCTGTGCAAAAAGCAGCTGCATGGTTCAGGGATTTTCTTGGGCGGTTTCTTTACAGGGTTTATTAGAGGATTGGGGTTCATGGACTGAGCTCATCCTGCGTAGCCCTGGACGTTGGTCTGGACTTCTAAAGAGGGTTGCCGCAATGCAGCGTGCCATGTTGCGATGCCAGGTTGCACGGCAGAAAGCCCTGAGTCCGTGGTGTTTTCGTGCGACGGGTAATGCCTCTGCTAATTTCGATGGCTTCGAACTTGTCTGTATTCCATGTCAGACCGCATTCCCTTCTCTCCGAGCGTGGTCATTGCACGCAGCCAGGTGCCATGGGTACAGGACAGCAGCTTTTCAGCTTGCAGTTGGTCGCAGGTGTCGTGCCTGTGGGGGTGAGTACCCCAGTCAGAAGCGACTGTTGAACCACTTGAGGTGTTTTCCTCAATGTGCTCGGTTCCTTGAAGAACGTGCAGGGTCCCTACTGCCAGTAGTGTTGGGTCGCTGCCCTGAGCAGTTCCCTGCTCGTCGTCCATGCAGAGTTGTTGAGGATTCAGGCGCGCAATTTGACCCTGGGGTTGTTGCAGCACTTTTCGAGTTGCCGGCTTCTGCCACATCCGACATGCTGTTTGACACCGTACGGGATTTTATACTGCCGCTCCCCATGCTGCGTGCTTCAATTGAATATTGGGCAGGAACTTCTAGCTGCTGCTCTTCCACTGTCACCAGGCTCCTGCACATGTGCACGGCCTCGGCCTTTTGCAAGGCGGCCTTTGCCGGGCGTGATGCGGTTGATAGCAACCCAATTGCACCTCTCACAGTGCCTAGCTTTCCTGAGCGGTTTGCACCCTGGGGTGACACGCTGTTGCAAGTGACCTGCTTGTCTCTGATCTCTGCTGAGCATGACTCTAGCTGCGTGTCTCCTGAGATTGTCAGTGCAGCACGTTCCTTGGCTGATGTCGGGATCATCTTCAATTTTAAGGCTCCGGCTGGATTACAGTCTCTGAGGCTTCAGCCTGGGCCCTTGAAACGTTGCAGAGTTCACGAAAGCTGGCTAAGAGCATTCTGGTTCATCTTCGGGGTCGGTCTTGAGCGAGCTTCCAGGGGGGTCCCTACGACCTTTGTGTTGAAGGGTTGCGTTGCTTGTTGTGATGACTTTCTGACAGAGATCCTCAGAGAAGGTGGCCAGGTGCTCCAACTTCGTTTCACCTAGAATTCGTGTGCAATAGGCGCGTCGACCACGACACAAGCCTTCCGAAAGAAAGACTACTACTACTACTACTACTACTACTACTACATCGTCACCATCATCATCATCATCACCATCATCAACAACAACAGCAAGAGAAGAGAAATGTAACAGTACAAAGGCAAATAATGAACTCACAATTTCGTTTAGCCCCGATTCTCATCAGAGAGTCAGACCGTCAAGATCCCCTAAACTTTAAACATGCACGTCGGTGTTGGACTGACCTTGCCCGAGCCGAACCCTCTCCTCGAGCACAACTTTGCCTTGAAGTTGAAGAAAAATGAAGCTGTCTGATGGAGCTTCCCGCACGGCAGCATGCAATTGACGCCTGCCAAGTGAGCAAAGTCGCCATGTACATGAAACCAGACTCTACGAAGGCCATCCAAAGCGTGTATTGCTTGCACCCTACACTGTGGGCATGAGCAGCTGCAGCAGCACTGAAACTTGGGCAGACTGGTTCGGCTTCTGAGGGCCCAAGCGGATTGCTCACGACTTGCTGTGGCCAAGTGGCCTCCAAAGAACCGGGAGCGACAACACCATCTTGAGGCTTGAGGCCCCTGTTAAGCTGAGACTGCTGCTGCAAGCTCAATACCATGGCTGGCTGAGGGGCTGTCTTGATGCCTGGGCACGCCCAGCGCTTCTGCAACAACTCAGCATTGCGAAGCGCCTCATGTCCTTTCCGCGTGGAACACACGACCACTGATGGATGAACAGGAATTTGCTCAGGACCCCCGAAGGAGCCACCATGGCCGTGCTCAACAGCTGTTGTCGAGTAAACCTTTGTCAAGTGGCCTCGTCTCAACCTGGCCTCAAACATGACCCGAGGGCCCTGCCCGACAGTGTTTGCCAAAACGATTGCAGCAGCCTGGAATTCCATCTGAATTGTCCAGAGTGTTCAATTCAACCATCGGACAGCGATCCCCTGGCGGGCACTTAACGAGCATCTGCATCAGTTCCACTTGAGGCTGCCGCCTTCCCGGCCAGCAAGCCTAAAGCCACCAACCGTCAAACTTCTAAGCTTCCAATTCCGGTTCCTCTGCATGGGAGGAAGCACTCAGAGAATGGCAAAACGTGGAGGTCAGATCCGTTCTAGACAGGTTGGCTGAGGTCGTCTCCGCTAGAGGTCGGTGACTGGCGCAGGTCACACCCAATGTTGGCCCAAACGCGGTTTCGGACCTGGGCCAGGACCCTCTCTCTGGCTGCATGGCTGCATAATATGCCGACTAAGCTGCAAGCGATTGTTGTTACGGAACGTCTCGAGGATTCAACAAGCAGACCACCAGCTCCGTTCCGAAGGATCGTATTGCCTCAGATCCAGGTTCTCTACTTGAACATTGGGCTGTCAAACACTTACAAGCTTGGCCCTGTGCCAGTAATGCAGCCTCGACCATTGGCCCGAACCTTGGGCTGTCTGCCAAGTGGTGAAATTGGTGAAGCTGGTGAAGCTGCGAAACTGCAGTTTGCAAAATACTCCTTCAACATCCGTCACATTTTGACGCTATCCTGTACAGGCCCTCAGGGTCGCGGTGGTCCGGCTGCTTGAAACTTCTGCAACTGTGAACCACCTGCACGAATGTGAAAACAATTACCTAAGATATATCAGCAGCGTAGGCTTCTCTCTGCGTTGCTCTGCTGTGCTATGCATTGCCGCTGTGCTGTACTGTAGGGGAATCTGCGACTGTGTAGAAAGGTGCCTTCAGCTCGGCCGAGGTCAAGAGTAGCACAATGTGAGATCATGTGAGACTGAACAGATGTGAAGAGATGTCGAGGTTAGACAGATACGATTCTCCGCCGACCCCAGCTGACCGTCAGCTCGAGCCATCTCAAGCCCAACCTCGACATCTTGATGCTGGGGCAGAGGGAATCATTTCCACGTTCACAACAGAGCGCTGGAACCTGAGAAAGGTTTCACAAGTCGCCTTCCGCGTGCAGCGCATGCATTACATAGGCAAATGAGCCCCAAGCTTCACGGCCATGACGAGCGCACCTCCCATCGCGACCACGCCGACGAGCAGGAAAGCATGAGTCGGACTTGCCTGGCATGAGCATGGACGGCCTAAGTTCCAAAGTTCCACAGCATCGAGGATCCCAATCACTTTCATGAGGTCTCTATGACTTTCTCAGAGCTGCCAAGGGGATGAGGTGGCACAAGGGCAGGAATAGGACAGCAACTCCCAAGTGCCGCAAAAGTGGCGGCAGTTCAAGAAAGCCTTGGACAACACGAAGCCGCTGTGTACACTCTGCAGAATCCTGCTACTTTCGCTGCTTCTGCTACGGCTTCTGCTGCTGCTACTTCCCATTAAGTAGTGGCAGCAGCAACAGCATCAGCAGCATCAATATCCCAGCAGCATCAGCATCCCAGCCAGGAAATCCAAGAGTTTTGTGGACTGCGGTCAAGGCATTCTTAGATTTCGGCATGTCTTGACTACTGAGACAAAACAAGCGGAAGGCGACTGTCCCGAACGCCAGCGTGTAGTGAAAAAAGCATAGCCTGAACGATGTTGTTTGACGGGCCGATAATGCCTTGTTCAAGAACAATTTAAGTTGTCCTTGCCAAACACCCGAAACAACCACGAAGCATGAATGTACGAGTGTATGTGGCACGCACAGAAGGAAGGACTGCTGGTGCTGTCTGAGGGGCCGCCGCAAGTACGACCACCGGGGCCCGCACGTTCACAGCACAACGTGTGGGCAAGTTCTTTTGAGGGCAGATCAGGAGCTCCCAGGCACCAAAAGCAGCTGCTAATCGCAGTCGGCACATCTCGGTGAGGTTTTGCTCACGCGCAGACCGGTACCCGAATCCCGCGAATGCAGAGTCCAAAAGGAGTAAAGCTTGCCACGCACTCTGCCAAAAAATACGCATTCGACACATTCGCACGCAATCGCCCCGAAAACCAAAAATTGGTACGGTCCTGACGGCCTCTCCGTGTCCAAAGCTTTGGCCAGCCGATCTTTTTGAGGTAGCCTGCAAAATAATGGCCTTAACATGGCTAAAAATGTCCGCCATTTGCCATGGTGACTGCGCAGCACGAAGGTCATCTGCGAGCACAACCATTTCCCAGTTCGGTTTGATCCAGGCTTCTGAAAAGCCGGCTCAAGAGTCTTGCAGTGTTTGGCACACAGAGGCTGAGTCAAGACAAGGCTGCACGAGTTCGCTTCATGAAACTTTTGCTTTTGGCCCGGCTTTTTGGTTGTGTCCAAAAGTCTATACTGCACGTGTTGCCATGTGCTGAATTGCTAGGCTGCAATGGATCGCCCCCACAGGGCCATAGGTCCAGAAGTTTCCAGGCTTCATGATGTCTACGCGCTCCCTCCCAACAGAGGAAGTAAGTTCATGCCCAGAAGCCACAGCAATTTCAGCGGCAGCTTGTTTCCATGGTCCAGTCCGTAAAGGTACAAGCTCTAAACAGCTCTTAAAAAAACCACGAACTTTACTCAAGCAAAGGTCCCAACATGATGCTCGCTGCTTCTTTGGCCTCATAGAGCTGACCCAACAGCACAGGCGAGGCGATGCGCGCCACGCTGTTAAGAGCCGACTCCTTCAAGCCACACACTTCTACAAAGCAAGGATGGAACTGAATCCCTTCTTTTAGCGGATTGTAGCGGGCTGTCCACTCCCATGACAAGGCCACGCCGATGTCGAGGGGCGCATCGAGCCATCATGGTTGGAACACTTGGGGCATACAGCGGCACGCCAACAGCGTACAACAAGACCTTGCTGGCTTGTGAAGGGTGCTCCAAAATCCTTAAGCCCCACCCCTGAAAACCCTGAACTGATGCATCTCCGTGACTTCCTATCCCTCTTCATGATCCAAGCGGCTCCAAATGCCATCAGTTGGTTCATCGGAAGCAGGGCCACGCCCAGTCCAATCATGAACAATCCAAGCACAGCCACGTGAACCAGTCGGAAGTGATGAACTAAGGGTGTGTAAGCAAAATATGTGACTAGAAACACGAGAACCGCCAGGCTAGTCTGAACCCAGCCTAAATGGCGGCCATCTGAACTAAACCGCTGTGAGAAGAGCACCGGGAAAAAACTATCGAAGAATGCTTGTCCGAAGTTGTATGCACATGTCACACCGATGAGCGTGACAATCAAAAACCAGGGTGTGGATGCTGTTGGCTCCCCTGCTCCGTCACCGGCTACAGTGCCTTGGGAGGTCTGATGCTTGAGGGGCCCACCACTGGGCCTGAGATAACGAAAAACCAGTAGACCTGCCATCATGGAGGAGGCGCCAATGAGCATCAGAACGCCTTCGAGGCATGTAAGCTCTAGGGCATAGCCCCCCAGCAGGGGCCCAACGATGAAAGCGCAGGTGGCTGCAGCCTCGCGGTGCGCCATCCACTTTGGCAGTTCCCTATGGCCCGCCTCATCTGCAATGTAGGCCTTCACCACCGTGGAGGCTCCAGCAAAGGCCCCGCTGCAGAAGCGCATGAGAACAAAGAGGGGCAGCGTCTTGAGAGATACGCAGACTGCCTGGAGAACGAAAAAGGCCCCGACTCCAAAGTATGAAGCCATTAGCACTGGCCGGCGGCCCTTCCAGTCACTGAGATGCGGAAAAAGGAGCACCGCAAAGAACATGCCGCAGGGGAATGCCACAACGATCTTCCAGGTAGAAGCTGCCGGCAAATTGAAGTGACAAAGCAGTGCGGGTAAGATAGGTCCCCCCATGGTAAACCCAAGGAGGCTTAGAAAGATACACAGGAGGATGATCTTCTGTGGTCCAGGTTCACCCACGTCTTCCTTCACTGTATCGCCCGAGCGCGGCTGATGGCATAGCACACGCGTGCTAATGCGCTTCCTTTGCACGTTTCTGGCCAGTTTCCGCAGCTGCCCCCTGGTGGCAAGCAGAACCAATGCAAGAATCAAACAGCTGTGCTGGCCGAGGTGCACATCTCCTGTCTTGCTAGGGAGATGGGAAGGTCTAGCTCCTTTAGCCAGACTTGCCCCGGGGACGCACAGGTGCGATGAAGGCGAACTGAAGCCGGCATCATTCTCTCGATGCATCTACGCGTTGCAGATGAAAGGGCTGCTTCTGTACCCGGTCTCTGCTGTTGCGCAATGGCGAAAGAGAAAGGTCAACGTTCTCCCTGAGTAGATGATGGAGGGAATCACTTCAAGCAGTTGAGTCCGTGAAAAAAGAGTTCCTACCTGCCCTCAAACTGAGCCTGCCCAAGAAGTCGCAATTCAGTGCTAGAAGATATGGCAAAGCAAAGGAGCTCAGCGGCTTAGGTGCCAACAACCACTCCGGCCCCGCGGTGCCCAGCCAAGGTGTTGCGCCAAATGATAGGGTTAGCCTCACCTGGCTAAACAATCATGAGATCTAGACAAGTAGTTTCCGTTACAGCGCGGAGATGCTGAACATCAAATGTGTGGAGGCGGAAGCGTGGCAGACTTGGGGCAAGATCGAAGGAGCAGGCCTTCAAGCCAAATTCCGCAAGCCTTGCACATCTTGCAATGTGAATTGCAGCGGCAACCCTTCTGGACACGATGTGCCTCCTCTCCAGACTCACTGGCTTCATCTGGCTTCTGTCAGATTGCTGGGGGCACGGCGCACCGCGTCACATCACAAGCAGCCACCTTGACTTGACAGAAAGCACGACGCATGCCCGAGAGTATCCTACACTACCCTGCAATGGGGCAACGATTTCTCCTCATGCGTCATCCAAATCTTGCCCAGCACTCAGAACCACACTGGCTGCATGCAACGCTTGAGTTATCTTGAGAATATTGAGATGCTCATGGTGCCATTTCTCGCGAGCTCCTTCCCTTTGATACATCTGAGGTTCCGAGCGTTGGGAAGCCTCCGTGCGCAGGTATCATGCAACTGGAGACTGTTGGTCCACTTTTAAAGCATGAGCCTGCTAGTCTGCAAATTACTGCTGGAAAGGTCCGGCGTAGGCCCATGAAATCTTGTCTGCATGGGCACTGCCACCGAGTTGGACAAAACACCATCCTTCAACCAGTTAACAAAATATCTCTCTTAGCCATCACGATCTTACTGGCGCTGGTGTCCCATCGCGAAGTTTGGTGCGAACTTCACAGAAGCCGGATGGTCAGCAACAAAGCTGAGGGTCCAGGAGCACTGGCCATGCCAACAAGAACCGTCTATCCAATCAAAGAAACTCTGGCTTCCATGAACGATTCGACTCTTGACCGGCCGCGGCCTCTATCACTCCATCATACGCCAAACGCACAAGAGTCACTTGAAGAACCTCTGCCATCCAGGTTGCCGGGTCCACGGGTCAAGGCCAAATTTCACTTAAATGGGCGTTTTGCCGATGAAGCATGCAAACTTCTGCCTGCGTGGCTACATGCAGGAAGGGCAACCTTCTTGTCCCTCCAGCACTACCCACGCTCATCAGCTTCAGGTGGTCTTTGATGGGCCGGCTCAGTTTCCACACCTGGCGACATTGGCGACATGAGCGACATGCCGGGTGCTCGGGATCAGCCCCTGGCCTGCCGCCTCTGGAAGCTCCCAGCTAGCATCCGACAAGGCTGGACCTTTGGAGCGCTGCCCAGGCTAGAATGGGCATTGCAGGTGGGCCAGCGAAGCGTGAGGTCGCAACTCTCAGGTTGCGCCTCTCTTCTGTACTGTAGGTGTTTACCAGAATTAATTTGCCTCAAGCTCATTGGCTGAACCTGCGACTCCAGGTTATGCATGCTACCGTAGTTGCTGGATACATGCTTGGTTGGGGCCATTGCTGACGATCGTGGATGCAGCCGATAGCGGGGTGTCAAGCCTCGGTGGAAGAGCACTGCACGATTTCTAGTGGAGGCAAGGCCTCCAAAATCTCTCCGAGGCAGCGTCAATGGGTCGAGTGCGGGCCGTGGTCGTCCGCGGAGGTGCCGGGCCAAAGCCTGAGACAAAGACGAGGTTCAACAAGACAGCTCATGCTCGCGCTCCATTCAAGCAAGCCACTTCCGCTGCAGCTTCCTGCGGACAGCACACGACCAACTTCGTGGCTTTTCGCGGAGAATGCAAGCCGCGCCTGTGCTGATGTTCTGCGAGCCTCTGCAGCCGTTGGCTGGGCGGCACCTCTCCTGTCGGCGTCTACAACACACAACGGCCATTGCCGAAACAGCGCGCAATTGTTCCTGAACTGCTGTGGGCCCTCTTGGCTGTCGTCATTCGTCCAATTGAGCAGCCTAGGCGGTCTGCATGACACGGCTTGAAGTATCTACCGGTTCCAAGGATGTGGCAGCATCAGACCAGTTGCGCTTGCGAACCATGCCACGAGAAGTGTGACTTTTTGCACCTGAGCTTAACAAGGCTATGCTATTGGCTTGCCCCTGGCAGTGTGTGCTTGACTTGGCCGAGGAACAGCAGCAATGCACCGGGCAGTAACTGCAGCCAACATTGCTCGAAAGCATTAGCGACTTCTACGCTAACTACGTGAACACACGAATCCTTGTCTGGGCGGCCTGCATGCTAACTACAATGCAATTTCATGAGACTTTCATGAGCAACCCCCATGTAACAGCGCGTGTGGGACTATTCAGGTCGTCCTGGCCACAGCACATCTCGACTGGATCCGATGAGCAAAAAACATGTCGGTGCAACTGCGGCAGAGTTTCACATGAGCCAAGCCAGCTGTGAGCTGAAGCCTAACTACATCGCGTCGAAAATGGTGCATATGTACCCAGTCCAAGGTTGATGCCAGACCCTCTGCGCCTTGGACAAAAGCAATTCCAGCTCCTGCGTTTCAGACCCTGGCCGCCCTGGCCATTTGGGGCAGGAAGACGGCTCTGTGACGTCCTGCGTGGTCAAAGACGCGACATTCGCGAATGACCTGCTGCAGCGTGTTCAAAGCGAGTCTACCGCTCAAGGCCAAGAGCTGAACTAAGGAGCGAGATCAGAACAGTAGTAAGTAGGAACAAAGCATGCTTACTGGGGGGACTGGCAGGAAGCCTTCAAACTTCAAACTAAGGTCAGAACTGGACATGAGTTGCCTCTGACCTTGCTGGCACCCATGGCCACACGAGATCAAGTGGCAGGAAGTGCCATTGTCCCGTGCCTCCAACCCGGCTGGAGCACCCCTGACAGGATTGCCCGAGGATCCAACCTCAATGACAACTTGTCACAGTTGTCATGCGAAAAAGGCAACTTCAAGTCTTTTGGTGAGTTGTCTCCCTTCTCAAGCTCATTCAGCCCGGGGCAATCTCGCAGCCTTCAATAAGGGGGCTGGCGTCAGTGACCTGAGGGCCGGGGAAATTGGGCTGTGTAGTTGAGTCCAATCAGTACAACTGGCCTGCAGCAGCAGGCCCAAAGGTTTGCTTTTTTGAATTGGAGGCCCCTCGCCACTTACACACACACAGGTGCATAACTGACTTTTGCACGGGCTCCCCTCTGTTTCACATTTACAGGCCCCCAATAAATGTAAAATCAAGGTTGCTTACCCCGAATGATTCTCCCGTTAACATTTGAGCTGGATGTCTGAAACTTGTTCTTTCTCTTATCTCCCTCTGCTGGCACGCTGCTTGCACTCACAAGCACTCACGATTTGCTGGAAACAAGGAGCATCCACAAAGATTACACACAGCAGATAAGTTCTTCCATTCTTGTATAGCAGATCTAGAATCCAGAAATTCTCCAACAGCGCAAAAAAATGTGAAATCGAGGGGCCTGGCTGACGAATTCCCACGTCTCCGGTCCCGAAATAAATATTCGAGAAATGATTTACGGTCCCTGCCGTTTTACATTATTAGGTTGGGTGCTTTACATACTCATGCTCTTGGCCTCTTAGCGGCTTAGCACCTGGCAGACAGTGCTCGACTGTTTTGCCTCAATCAGAATAGCTGCTGAGACGTGCTACGGCTTTGAAGCGTTGGGGCGGCGCTCCGCGCAAAGTCTCAGATGCCGCAGGGCCTCAGCACAAGTGTAAGTGTGAGTGGAGACCCTGGGAGAAGGGATCCATGAGTGTATACGCTCTCAAGACTCAGCTTTTCGGCGCATGCTGACGCCCCAGGGCCAGCTACCACAACTCCATCCTTCCTGCGCTCGAAGTGGTTCACTGGTGCTGCCACCATTATTGTCGGCATGCTGGCATCAACTGCACTTCCCAGTGAGGCGCAGGCCCCCAAATTGTAGGGAGCTCCTTCCCCGCGCCAACCAACACAACCTTGCTGCTTGTACATCAACAGCAGCAGACAAAGCCAACCTATACAGGGAAAAAGGTGGTACCTGGTCCAATAGAAGGCGTTGAGCTGGACATTCAGGAGCCGACCGGATCTGTGATGCAAAGCTGCTCGTAGTACACCTGAAGTGATTGTCTCTCCCTGCACTGCTGGATGCCGCTTTTCAATCGTGCGCCACGCGGCTTCAAGATTTTGCTTGGGGCTGGCACTCCAGGGAGGATTCTTACCTGGGCAGGTCTGAGTCTCGCACTCATGCTCATCCGCCGCTTTATCAGTTTATCAGACAAAGTGCGCACTTCCCTGCATCCTTTTTTGACGCCAGCTGAGGAGGATGGCTTGCGCGAGATGGAACATGCAAAGCCTTCTTCTTGCCATGCGCGGCCCTCGTGTACCAGCCGAACTAGATACAAGCACCGTGAGCATGAAGTGGGAGTCCGCTGCAGCCGAACGTTGAACCAATCACAGCTTCACGAGCAGATTCATGCTGTAGCCTGGTTCTGTTCACAACTCATCTCAGACTCAAATACCAGGATGTAATACCTCTTTGCGTGGATTACCAGTACATCCAATGCTTTATCCAATTTATCCGGGTTCCACACCTCACTTTCCAAAACTCTGAGACTGTGCATAAACGGACCGGTCTGTCCCTGCAAAATTTCGTGGCCGACAGCTCTGTCAATTGGAAATGAAAGTTGCAGGATAATGCTCGCTTCAGCAGCTGGAAACGTGAGCCTTTCCACTAGCTGGCAAATCAGCTTTGTTGCCAGAACTTGCTTTCTCTTCGAGGCCAGGCTTTTGAAGGTCCTGGTTGCAGGCAACAAGTTGGGCAGCCCATGGACAAGCTGCGCAGCCGCGCCACCGCGCTCTATAATCTGAGTGGCGGCTATCTTGCGATGCTGCTTCTTCCCATCGGGACTCTCGGTAGTCATTATGCGGCCCAGCATTCCTTCCAAAGCCATCGCATAGTCTTTTGGTGGGGCATACTGGTACATCAAAGATGCCAGCCGTGCTACAGTTGAGGCCTGAAGTCGTGTGCCATCATCATCTTGGCGGTGTTCATCCAGGTCGAGGACTTGCTCACAGACTAGCTCGCACAGCCGGCCTCCGGCTGACGGAGCCTCGAGCAAGATTGCAGTAGAATCGACTTGCGCAGACTCCACCACTAAACGAAGCAGCCCGCGCAAGGATTGGAATAAAAAGGGAGCATGGGCCAAAGACTCCAAATGGCTCAATGCAAGCACAGGATTTGCAAGCCGGTTGGATGCGAGATCGTTCTTGATGCATCCCTGGCCAAGGCCGAGCACGACCCGCACAGCAGCCGCATCACGGATGGCAGAGCGCATATGACGGGAAGCCCAGGAGAGCTTTGCACAGGAGCTGCTGTCCAAAGCAGTCACGCCAAAGCGCAACCAGCCCAAAGATGGACACGGCGTGGGCTTGGTACAGACTTCATCCAGGCAGACGGCATCCCAGGCTTCAATCGCTTCAGTCGCAGGATCCTGAGTGTCGTGAGAGTCCACATGCCGTCCGTCGCCAGCCTCTTCAGCCTCACCCGTCCTTGTCCGCTTTCTTCCCATTTTTTCAGAACTGCGAATCGCATGCTCAGGGATTCGTAAAGATAGCAACAGCGATTCTGAACCTCGTAAAGTTTGTGTGATAAGACAACATTCATGTTAACAGAGAGGCTCGCAAGGCCATGCAGAACTGGGATCTTTGACCCTGTGAACTGCAGCGGCGGAAAGAGCTGTCAAGACATGTTTCTGCATCAACAAGAAATCCTACTGCTTGCTCTCGGCCATTCCTGGGGCTGCGACCAGAATCTGTTCACGCGCGCTGGATGCTTGGACCTCAGCCACCCTGTCTGTTGTTGTATGTGTGTGCGCATGCGCTTCCACCATCTGACCGCCTCATACTTCAGGGATGGGGATGCCATTACATTAGTACGGCCAGCCAAGCAGTGAGTACCTCGGCAGATTTTGCGAGAAGGTTGAAAACAGTGCTAACACTCTGCTTTGGCCGCTGCCAATGCAAAACCATCGGACCAGTTTGGCCACAGGCTGACAGTGACACCTATGGCATCTTTTCTAGCCAGACAAGCCCGTACTACCTTCTCGGCTTTCAAGTTCCAGAACCAGGATCAGCCAGCAGCTGTTCGAGCGCGCTTTCGGAGGTGGCCCGTCGTAATTCGGGCTTCCTCGCCAGCATCTTCTTGGGACCATCGCATCATTTGACCGCTGCGGCCGCGCCCCATGCATGGAGCATACACCTTGGCAAACAGGAACTCAAAAGGTCTGAGCCTGCCTTATAGAGCACTGTCCATATCAATCCAGGTTACATAACGACGGGCGCCATCTTCTGCTTGTGCTGGGATGGCTAATGCCAAGAGCGCATCTCGGAGCTGTGCCAAGGTGCAGCCGCCAGGCGGCAAGCGCTCAAAAATCTCCAAGCCAGTGAGCCCTCTTGTTCCAGCCCCCTGCAATGCCTTCTCAACCGCACTTAAGACATCCTGCAAAGAGGCACCGGGAGTTGCAGCTGCAGCTGCTGCAGGCTTTGCTGGTGCCCTCACCACTGAAGGCCGCTCATCTCCCTGGATGATGCGCTCCTCATGACGACTACGGCTTCCTGAAGCGAGTGCTGTCTCCTCGGTGCGGTGCTGCAACAAACTCCGATAGCCTCGGTCAAGCAAATCTGGGCGCACGGTCAGAGCCTCCACAATGGGACCCTCAATGGGTGCCTGGAAACACGTGACCGCAGGGACAGACAAGAAGCATGCTTTTGGAAATCCGCACCTCCGAGCCATCCAAAGGCTGCCAAAAGCTGAAGAGCTCTGGAGACGCTCGCCGCTCTACTCGCAACACTGTTGGACACCCTGTGCCAGTGGAGTTCAGCTTGAGGATGCCTTGGTCCTCAGCTTTGGTAAACGGCAAGGTTGAGACGGAACACTCAAACCATCCAAAACCTATACACGTTGCCGCACTCTAAGTGCTGCATCTGCGTCGAGATCCAAATCAGCCACCAAGTCCTTCGGCTTGGACTTGAGCCACTGCTCCGACAACCACCTGTGGCACAGCAGGTGCACACGAGAAGCGTGACGAAGTTTTGCTGGATGCGGAATCCACTCAGTATCAGTATGCGCCGTTGCTTATCAAACAGCATCAACTAGTGGCTTAAGGGATTCGAGCATGGAAAGGCGCCTAGGGACTTTCAGCAAGCGGAGCTCGCCAGTCGACATGGCAGTCGCAAATCTAAATAGCAACTTAGCAACCAATGTACAGAACTGGTTTTTGACGTGCGGGTAAACTATGCTGCGTCTGCTACAAGGCCCACATGGCTGGTCCAAAAGCTGAAGAACATCTGACCTTGAGCCCATACCTCTCGGACTGGACGTGAGTGGGGCCGACCATACCTCACAGCAGATCTCATAGGTTGCAGGTTGCCAAAGAACGATTCTGACCGACAGATGACGACACCCAAAGGCAAGAGAACTCTAATGGGAAGACATCTGAAGTTGGCATCCATAGACTTGCAGACCTTCCTGTTCTGTGGCTTCGTTGCCATGGATTTCTCCGAATCCGATGCACGCTTCATCCACACATCGTCTCGTCACATTCCCCGCAAGTAGCTAGAACACATTAACAGCCAGCGTACAGGAAAGCCTCATCGACATAGTCTGGAATGGGTGGCAGATGACCTATAAACAATTCTCGGGCTCTCCAATCAAGAGTCTTCGTTAAGCCTTTCTCCATTTCTGAAGGAGTTCCCTCCACAAACGATTAAATCGTAGGAGAGCTGGAAAAGCCTGAACTCTCTTCTTGGCTGTTTGCTACTTCCCCCATACTGCCTTTGAAGTCGCGCAGATCCTGCTCCCATGTACGCTCCCTCTCGTTGAGCGTCTTGGTTGGAAGTGGGGCGAAGTTCCGAGAGGCCCAGACCACAAAGTTTAGTTTCCTCAGCCTATGCCAATTTTCTCCCGGCATATCGTGAATTACCTCTGATTCAAACAGTAAGGGATTCGAGAGAAACAAGTGGAATGTGAACAGCTGGAAGGGCTGGATGAGAACCCCGAACCCTCAAGTGTACGATGTCTCCTAGCCTCACCAAAAAGGAATGATGGCTGGATCTGGCTGCGTCCCACTTGAAATACACGTTGCTTTGCCATTTGCCGAGAGCCCTTACTGCTGCAGCAATTGTCGGAAAAGTGGCAGACCTTGGCAAAGAAGTGGATGTGTTGACAAGGGTCCTACTGCGAGAGGTCAATCACAAGAACCTACTGTTCTACTGCTTCGGAATGACAAGTGAACAAGGCTTGCACAAAATGCAGAGATTGGCTCTCATTTTGGCTTTCAAGCCGAGTCTGAGCTTGAGGCGGAACTGTTCGGACCTCTGTACCACTGGCCACCTCAAGCTGCAAGGGGTGAAGCTTGGTTGCGAGTACTGTTTCTCTGCGCCTTTTGTATGCTGTTTTTTGTGCTGGGGGCTGTTCCAGGGGTCGCCATCCTCGTATCTCCTCGCTTTTGGACCTAACTGGCGCCACTTTAAGACCATCGTGTCCTCGTCACCCAGGGCGGTCGCCATCCTCCCATGTGTCGTCGCTGTTGGATTCTGTTGCGTGTTAAAAGTGCTGTCACAGGGATGGGGCCCCGGAAGGGGTGCCATTCTCGCAACTGCCGTCTATGATAAGAGACACATGTTGATGTAACTGTGATGACACTCATACAACCATAGAAAGACAATGATAGTATTGCCATTACATAAAAGCATGAGATATCGCGAAAGAAATAGAATATCATGAAGCATGACGATAATGTTGACGTACCAAAAGTGACGACAAAATCTGAAAAATGCGAACGCATGATGACATTCGTTGGCGCAAGCATGTGTCCTGTAAAACAACAGCAGGGAGGTTGGGGGGCAGCCCCCACCACGTTTGCAAACTTGAACGACAATTAGAACATGTGTTTCCTTCCAACGTCTTTTATCGGGCAATGTTGAAAACAACACGAATATAACGACGAGAACGTTTTCAAACCTCTGCATGATGCCCTTGTACCCTTTGGAAACTGATGACACAAATTAGAAGAATCCTGAGAATGGTTGAATATGATGAAACTGATAGTCAAATTAAAGTATGGAAACTGATGACAATGTGGACCATGACGTAAAAATGATGAACTATGAAGAAAAATGGCGAACTAGTTGAACAAGGTAAAATAAGATGAGCACAAAAGCATCAAACGACAAATGATGAATAGTGATGAGCATGTTAAAAATTAAAACGAGCAATAATGGAAAGATTATACATAATCAGCTAAGTATAAAGCAGCATGGAGAAAAATTGTTTACAACTGAAATGAAAATTGATGCCACGTGCTGGAAATGATGAAAACTCATGGGGTAAGATGAAACATGATTCAACCTAGTGCAAATTGATGGGACATGATAAGACAGTGGAACATGATGAACATTAAATATGATCAACAATGATGAATGGTGATGAACAATGATGAAGATCAAATGCAATCAGAAATGACGAGAACTGATGAGAAATGATGAGAATGATGAAAAAGAATACGATGAGGGGTGATGAACATGATAGAACGTGATTAAAATCATAAAGCATAGTGACAATCAGATGTGATGAAGGAAAAATGGTGAGAGATTATGGAAGATGAGGGTGATGATGAACGATGATGAACAATGATGAGTATTTGCGGAACATGATGAATCGTGATGAAACATGCTGAGGAATGATGAAACATGACGAAGTAGGAGGAACAAATGACAAGACATTAGATAAGATGAAACTTGATGAAAGAGATTTCAGATGATGAACATGAAACATACAATAAAAGATGATGCATGATGGAGACACGAAAAAAATATACTGAAGAAGTGCGATGAAAATGATGACATGCCATGAGCAAGGATGAAACATGATGGATAACGATGTACCCCTGTGAAAAAATACAAAGAAATTCGAAAAAAACAATGGTGAACAACTGGAGGAAGGATAAACTACAATGAAACATGGCAAATCTGATGAAATCTGATGAAACATGCTGAAAGTAATGGAACATGACAATATGATAAGAATCGGCGACCTTTCTTCTTTACGCTTCCTTCCTTCCTTCCTTCCTTCCTTCCTTCCTTCCTTCCTCTCTCCTGCCTTCCTACCTCTTTTCTTCCTTCTGTGGGGATCTCGCGAATGGAGGCCGCTCCAAGCGAGAGAGCCAGAAAGCCGCAAAGCCAAGAAGCCGGGAAGCCAGAAAGGCGGGCAGCTAAGAAGCTGGGAAGCCGGAAAAGCGCGAGGCCACAAGACAGCCACGGGCCCCGCCGATGATGTTGACATATATGCCTCATAAAGGGGATCGTAAAAAAATATTCCTGTGCCAGAGAAAACCCACAGATTCAGGATTGCTGATGTGTTTTAATTGCGAACCTATGGTTTCGTTGACATCGCATCTCCATATATTGGGCGTTCAGGGCATGGGTCGTAATTGAAAGCAAATTGAAACCCTCTCCCGCTCCTCCTTCTACTCTTCCTCCTCCTACCACTCCTACTCCTACATACTCCTACTCCTACATACCCCTACTCCTCCTACCCCTCCTGCTTCTACTACCTTCTACTCGCTTCTACTCCTACTGGACCTACTCCTACCACCCCTACGACGACCCATCTTAGAGAGCACAGGTCCCTAGAGTCTTTGATTCATTGCATTTCCTAGACCTTTGTTTCAAGATTGGTCCCCGGAACTCAGGGGTTACAGCAATAATCTCCACATTAATACTCACCGCCGTCAAAATAGTACCAACAAGCTCCAGCTGGAGCAGCTCTTCTGTTTTAAACGTAACTTACGTTGAGTGTAAATGAAGCGTAAGCACACGACCACACGACCAGGTTCCTCTGCACGAGAAAAATACCCAGTCTCTCCTGACACCTGGCAAATGCATCAGTCGTGCCTGCTGGCACTGCTTGGCGTCTGAATAAATAGCACTGAGGCTATCGCCTGCACAGGCCGAGGCGCCTTGGCCTTGGCAAGCAACTTCTCTTTACGAGGTAGGGATATACAGAGGTCCCGCAGCGTCTTGCATGCTTGCTGAAGCTTTTTCCTGCTCTACCTCAAACTGTTTCAGAATGCCTCCGTTGTGGTCCATAGCAAGCGGTGCATCACAAGGTGGCTTGTAACTCGTACATAGTCATCCTGCGCGAAACGCAGATGCCATGCATTCTTGTCTGCCACCCATGGCCACATGTGCCTGCACCGGTCCAGAACGCGCTTGGGATAAGCTGCGTCTCGTGTTGCCTGTTGCTCGAATATTCTGTGCTGCAGCAAGATGATGATAAGTGACCGTTCTGGCGAGCAGCAAGGACAAGGCCCCCACTGAGGGAGATGCAAAAGACGGTGAAACCACAATGTGAAACCTCCATACAGTTTTGCAATGGAGCCACTGACGAAACTAGGATAGACGCATGAAACTCCTGACCTAGCGACGCCTCACCAAAACTCGCTGGCCTAGACATCCCACACATCTGTTTCCGAATACGGCCGCATGCCCGTGCCCTGAAGCCAAGTCAGGATGCATACAGCTGGTGCAAGTTTTGCTTCAGGTCTGCCAAAGTCGGAGGTGACTTCGATGGAGTGCTTCCCAGGCCCCCATTCATGTTCCCATTGCTCCCTTGCGCGAACATGTTGCTCCCGTTCGGGTTAAAGCCGAAGCTGTTGCCATTGCTAGGGCTACTGGCAGGGTGCAGGCCATTGCAGCCAGCCCCTTGGCCTTGCAAGCCATAACCTTGTCCGTGACAGCCAAAGCCATTCAAAGGAGGGCCGCAGCCACATCCACAACCTCCACAGGCTCCGCAAGCGCCACACCCGGAAATGCCACATCCGCCGCAACCAGGACAGCCTGCAACATTGTGTTGGAAACAATGATAACTCTGCAGAAAGCTGCCGCCTGCTACTGCTTACAGGTAAGTGAATGCAAATACTGGGGCTGGATGAAGCACAGGCCCAATGTGGGATGCTGCCTACTACGTACAGGCCTAAGGAGCCTAAATGGCCCAAAGATCACAGCTGATTTCAGGGATCACCCATGGCCTGCGCAGCCACCTAGGCAAGCGGCACTGCAGCCAGATGTACCAAAAGCAGCGCCACTGGGACAGCCAGCACATCCACCGCAGCCAGCAAAATTCCCAGTGCCACTGCAGCCGCAGCCACCACATCCACAGCCGCCACAGCCGCAACCGCCACAGCCGAAACCGCCGCAGCTGCAACCGTCGCAGCCGCAGCCGCCGCAGCCGCCGCAGCCGCCGCAGCCGCCGCAACCGCCGCAGCCGCAACAGCCAAACCCGCTGCCGGCACAGCCACTGCAGCTGCACCCGCCACCACCGCAGGCACAGCCGCCATAGCCGCAGCCATTGCCAGCGGGCTGCATGCCACAACCTCCACAGCCTCCACAGCCTCCGCACCCTGCACCAGAACAAGGGCTCCCGAAGCTGGACTGTGTCATGCCTGGCAAGCTAGGTACGCATGACACGCCACAACTCTGCTCTGGCCCGTTGAGGGTGCCTGGGGCACATGGCATCTGAGTGTTGAAAGGTGATGGGCCAGTCGGAGCAGCACCCGCGGCTGGAAGAAGATCGCTGCGCTCACCACTTACAAAGGGGTCGAAACCAAGGAAGTCCGTCCCTAGCGAACTTTGGCTAGTCTGGGGGGCAGTGGCGCTTGGATCAAATCCTGTATCCAGCTGCTGCTGGGGCTTCGTCTGGTGAGGCTGCTGGGACTGCTGCTTCTGTTGTGGAGCTGCACTTGGATGATCAAAGTCAGATAGAAGGTCGACGCTTTGCGGTGCGGGTGTTGGCTTTGCATCCCTGCGCATGCCGGATCCACGGGACTGGGACTCGAGTTGTGATTGGGGTGCGGATGCTGCAGTTGTGCTCGGCCTCCTCTCTTGATGTGCCGCCTCCCTGACTCGATCGCCTTGCGACCAGAACTTGTCGATGTAGGCTCTCTTCACAAATTCTTTACATCGATCCAGACTATCTCCTTCTCGCGGTCTGTCCTCATCTCTTACGCCTGCCAGGAACGTGTCCTGTGCAACCTTGTTGCCCCCCCCATGTCTCTCTTCCAGTGCACGGACCTCGTCCATAGTCCACAAGCTCATTTGTGTGCTCTTGCACCTATGCGAGAATGCCTGGTGGGCAGATTTGCAGTTGCTGCAAACGAAGATCTTGAAGGGCACCACTACAGCAGTCAATGCTGGAGTTCCAGGCGCAAAGCAATTCGCACATTTTTTATTCTCTGGCAACTTCCTGAGCTTGTTCAGCTCCGACTCCGCCCTTCTGGATTCCTCCTCTCGCGACATGACAAGTTAAGGAACCTGTCTTACTAGCTTGAGCCTAGCACACAACGGCACCAATGTTGGCTAACAGTGTTGCGGGCTGTATGATTCTGGCAAAGACTGAAGCTGGTGGGGCACTTGTGCTTGTGATGCTTGCACAAGGCTTCTTCTGTCTCAGTCTCGGGCAGCCCGCTGTGCCATTTTGAAAGCTGACGCTCATGCCCTTCCTGGCCATGGGCAGCTTGCAGCCTCACTGTGAACGAAGAACACGCACGGCTGCAGATGCCCTTTTCTCAAGAAAACTCAAGCCGGCCTTGCAGAGCTGTCGGCACAACATTTCTTAGGAAGTGGTCGGGCAACACTGTTGTCAGTAAGAGGATGTCTCGGAGCCTAGAAGTGAGACCTCGCCTCGCACAAACCTCAACGCTGAAGGATGTGATTGGATGTTACCTGCTGGCTGCAATGCGCTGCCGTTCTGTAAATGAGCAGCTGCGGCAAATTATGTTTCAGTCAGGACAACACGTGAAAAATGATGAGAAATTGCTGGCTGATGCAGCAGCAGAGAACACAAACATATTTGGCGACCGATGTCACGGGCAGATGCTTCTGCTCGGCGAGTATCAGGACCAGCCAGCCCAACCTCAGGTGCAGAAGTGGCCTTCCTCAGACCCAGCTTATCCTCGCGGACCTGCATTTCAAATGACCACAGAGCCCCGGTCTCCAAGTGAACGCCTTCTTCCACGTTCTCTCTGACCTTGCCAGTGCCAACACAACAGTAAGAATCTGAGCCTACAGCTTTGAGAACGGCGTGCCGCTAGAGACTCGGCCGCCTCCAGACCAACTTCTTCGGTTGCTTTTTGACATCATCAAGATCCAGACCTTGCTGCTTTCAGCCGGCTTCACTTCACAGCTGCATCAATTCCTGAAGTGGTGCCTGCATTCAATGCGCTGCCTACTTTTCGAGGCGAGCACTCATGTCCCCGGTCCCGAAGTAGGCTTTGTTTCGGCGGATGCCTCGCTTCCCGCATATGTCACAAGCTGCATGCTCAACTGCTCAACCGGTGATAATGATAATGGCACAATCTTACATAGCTGCCTCAGAAGCAACACTAGATCAGCGAAGAAACTGATACTGATCCTCCTCCATGAGGGCGCTTGCCCTTTGATTGCGATCTTGCACCTCAATGAGAAAGCTTCGAACAACGCATTGGCGCAGCTCGTCCTCATAACACTTGCCAGTACTCAGTACTGCAAGCAATTTGTTTGCCCTCTCTTTGGAATGCGACGCATGCTGCGGACAGTAAGTTTGGCGGGCAACAGGCGCCCGGCCACAGCTGGCGCCGCTCCTTCAACGGAAGGCTGAAACACTTTAGATATCTGGCATGCTATTGCTCTTCCGAAAAATGCAAGCCTCCACGACTTCGTAGGTCTGAGGTACGCCCATCCTGTTTGTTCCCCGCCTCTGCTTGCTCAACAGGACATTTATCACACAGGCTCACTGCAGCTCCAAGCCATCATGTTATTCATTCTTATGTGCATTGCCACGATCATTTCCACCGTCAAGCAACGAGTCTGCCTGCGCACTTAGGCGCTCACACAACCTGCTTAGCAGGTGCGACTGGTAGAAAAAACACCATCAAGGTTAGGCGGGGACGCCGGAAGGTGCCTCACGGATGGAGGGTACCTGGGAAATTATAGTGTCGAGCCTTCTTCAGCTCGGGGCTTCAAACCACTGAAGTGCAGCACTCAGAGCGGGCCTGCCCCTATTTTTACTGCTGTAAAAAGAACCTGTCAATAGCATTGCATCATGTTGCGATTGGTTCGAGTATCGGCTGAAGTCGCACAGCAGCTTTGAGGGGTTCTGCGCTCTTTGAGCCCTGCCGCGCACGAGTTCCTGCTAAGTCTGCCACGGATCTCCCGATGCTGATCATCTTGATCCACAGTACTGGAAGACCCTGTTCCTTGCCTGATTGCTCGGATCGGCGGAGATACCCGCAGAGGTTGAAAAAGTACACATTGCAGCACTGGCTCTGGTAAGGCAAGTTTGCGATGAATATGACTACGTCTGCAATTGAACCAACCAAAACTGTTCCAACAAAATCACGAAGAGTCCGCTGCTGTCAGCGCAGACAGAAGACGTGCATTCCCGATGGAAACACCCAGGTCGAAACCATGCAAACAAGCATTTGCTGCTAAACCCGGCAGCAAGGACGTGCCATGATCATCAGGAATCCAAAGCCCTGTCAAACGCACCTTCTACCCACGACTCTTGAAACTTAGAAACGAAGCAAGATCAGCTTGCGGAAACCGGAAACCCGCTGACATTGCTTGAATATGCCTAAATTCACTTGCAAGCTCAGGGGGCCGACATAATGGCTGCCTGGTCACCTGGCCTAGGCTTTTCCGCTGACATGGAAGTCATGCCTTGCAACTTGCAAGCATCAGTTCTAGATTGCCTTCATGGTCAGACTCATTCGATACTTATCCATGACCCGAAGTGCTTTCACAACTTCCTGCAATGCATCACGGTATGCATGGGTCATCACTGCTAGCCGCTAGCATTCAGAACATGGATCTGCAACGTGTCTCTACATATCCAGCCAAAGCGGCCCGCGTCCGCGCCTCCCAGCTCATTAGAGCTCGTTGGTGGAATCACCTATCGATGATGAATTGCCCGACATTTGGGAGTTGCTCGAGCCCATCGTGGATCCCTGACACGCATGCGACATTTGCGCAAGTACACGTATTCATCCGCACATGAGGTGTTGCGCTTTGGCTTTGAAATTCTGCATCATTGTCGCAAGAGTAAACACAAAGTGAACCAGCAAGACGCGTCAGCAACTGCGTGCCTTAGCCTTGGTGCCTTTGATGATCTTCTTCACTGCCTTGTCAATGATTTTTTCGAGCCTGTCGATCTTGTCTTCGGAGTCCAAATCATTTGCTGTCTCCGGCCACTGGCTCTCTCGAGACGTGGAGCCACCGTATCCTCGGGTGCACATTTGTCCGTGACAATAATGCTTCTGCGGCCCGTCTTCCCTTTAGGAGGCAAGACTGCAGGAGGCCTCTTTCTTCTCAAGCCCTTCTCTAGCTCCTGTCTAATGTAACGTAACCTATGGCCCCCTGTCGTTCCTCTTGCTAGTAGTTGGTGGTTTCAGGAACGACTGCTCAGGCAGGTCAACTAATCACTGATGCTTGGGAAGCGTCTCTTGATTGAGTCCGTCGTGACAGGGTTGGCGCTGGCCGGCTCAAGGACTTGCAGCCCACCGGCGATGCCAATGTCCCCCTCACTGAACTCGAGTTTCCTCAGTTGCAGCGTCTAGCTCACACGCTTGGACTTTTTTGCACGCCGCCTGCATCGACTCTGCTGGAAAGCAGCCACTGGCGCAACACGACTCGGTTCAATTGTCAGGAACGATCTCTAAGGACTTGTGACTAAATTTGATAAACCCCTCGGTCGAAGACAGCCAAGTAGGATGCAACAAAAAAAAGCAAGAAGAAGGCAACGCAGGGCCTGACGGAAAAAGCATCGGCCGAAAAAAAACTCAGATGCTCATGAAAATCCCTGGTCGCTGGCCGGTGGAAACATACTGGTCCTGATAGACCCAGTTGTCTTTGTTTAGGAGGTGGCAATTCAGAACCCTGTCGAGTGAGGATGTGGGCGCATCAGGCAGAGGTTGTGGAAAAGACATGAAAAGACTCCACGCAGTAGAGGAGAGGTGATGGAAAAATGCAGCCAGTGGTGCCTTTAGTCCTAATTTCTACCAAACTGGAGGACAATAGGGAGGCGCCTTGGCAGAAAAATTGGCAGAACAGGGGCCATGATCTTCAACGTCTCTAGTACTGGGCCTCTGCCTGCTTCTTGAGCATAATATAAGCCCGCTACTGTCAGCAATTGTTGGTTTGATTGCGAGCATGGACGCGGATAGAGTTCAGCCTTTCACGAAACGACTGGTGCAGCAGGGGTGTGCTCTGTGCTGCATTGAACGCAGAAGAACTGACACTACTATGTGCTGGATCAAGTATCTCATCCATCTGCAGTGATTCCACGAAGCCATCCCATCGCTTCGGCGAAACATGGGGTATGTTGTCCAAGATGACAGAACCGCGGTTTAACCGCGCAAAGCCAAGCATGTCTTTGAAAATCCCGAAGTAGGCACAGTTCAGCTGTGCGATGAGCAAGTTCAACAAAAAGATGGTCGTGCAAATAACAAACACACTGACAGACGCTAGCAGCTTGGGCTCCTCTTCCAAGTACTGGAATTCCTCGCTGCTAAACATGCCGAGCATGATTCGCGACAGGCTCAACATGGCAGGCAGGATTTCCGAGAAGTGTTCGTTGGCGATATCAGAAGATGCTAAGCCACACGCGAAGGTGAGGACAACAAAGCTGAGAGCAAAAAGGTACTGGGCCACTTCCTGCACCATGCGCCCACACACCAAGACAAATGTGGAGAGCTTGGTGGAGAAAACCGTGAGGTCCAACAGCAGCAAGAAGTAGAGCAAAGTTGCCAGGAATGCGAATGTGGAATAGCTTGGGATCAATGACGCTGCTTCCCTGCACTGGCCACCAAACTCAGCAAACTGTACTTCGCTGGTCGTCTGCTTGCCAAGGCAGTGGAGCACAGGCTCTTGGCAAAGCATTCCTCCAAGCGAAATGCATAGCAGCCCACTCAAGCTCTCCGAGAAATGGACCAAGTAATTTGGCACTGGGAAGCAGCAGAACATCCTCACTTCCTTCTTGCGGCAAGCACGGATGATGCGCACTAGATGTCGGGCGATGAGCTGCCCAAAGCCAAACGCGTAAATGAAAATTCGTCCTACAAACATACCCATGAGGGACACCGAAGATGGTGAGTCCGAGTGGTCTGTGAGGATGGCCATCGTCACAACGAACACGAGCAAGTTGAGAAGAAACCAAAGCTTGCTCATTAGAAAAGTATATGCCACCACACGCGACCACAAAATATTTGCAGCAAGTACCACGGCAGGATGGCAGGCTATGGTAGGGTCTCCATGAGCTACAACGTCGCGGAAGGACTGCGAGAAATGGCTCTTGGGATCGACTATGAGGTACTTGATGAAGTAGTTCACGCGTCGAGTCCCGTTACTCGTGTTTCGAGACCGCCAGATCAAGCCATCCAGGAGGGTCGGAAGTAGTTCGGGGCCGTCTTCTCCTATTCGCTGTATAATGTCTGGATGTCTGTTAAACAAAGCGTCCATGGCGTAATAATAATGATCTCTGTCCGCACGAATAGTGAGCAGGTCCATCAATATGGCTTGAGCTGCCTCAAGGCTTCCACTCTGAATGGACCAGAGCAAGGGCGAGATGGATTGCGTGCCGACCTGCACTTTGAGCATCCACTCTGCACGTAGGCCACGGGGAGCGCAGCTCACAGCCTTTCGCAGCATCTTTGCGCAGTTGGCATTGATGGCTCGCATCACCAAAGTTGAGCCTTCAGTGATTGTGCGGACCAGCACACGAGAAATCAGATTCAATGACCATCGAAAAGCCTCCTCTTGATGTTCATCTTTTGTCAGGTCACGGAAGCATTCAATGGCAGAGCTGACGAACGGTCCGAAAAGCTCTGTTGGAATGCCATATCCAACATGTCGCAAGCCGAGGGCTGAAAGGCTTTCCATGACAGCTTTGGGGTCTTTGAAGACATCTTGGGTGTACATGAGCATTCGGTCAGCAATGAAATGCAAGCGTGTTGACGACTGTTTGAAGTAGTCCTGGCCCTGCGCACACTTGCCGAAGAATGTCGTGTAGAGTGCAGTTCGATAGGCCGCTAGTTGCTGGTCCTCGATGTTCATGAAAAACTTTCGCAAGGCTTTCTGCTGTCCTGGTGGCCTCCCCATGTTTGCTTTTAGCATCCTCTGAATATTTTCCCATAGCCACGTCCACGCCACCTCACACTCAGAATTCCTTAGTAGGCCGGTGCTGGATCAGCAGCATTGCAAGAACTTTTCACAACGCAGGCTGCCTTAGTGTGAGATAGTGTGAGAAAATTCTTTCGGGCCAGGGTCCAAGTCTTCGGCAGAAGCGACCGCAAAGATGCAAGCATAACCTGGGAAGCACACGAAGGCGACTCTGTGCAACATGTTGCAACGTCGGACCTATTTGCCTTCAGGATTAAGCTTCAAAATCAACAGTGTTCGTACTGGCCTTTGCTGTCTGGTATATGCAGCAAGACTTCCAACACCATACATGCAATAAGAACAAGTGTGGAGCATGAAGCCGGGTCGGCTCTGCAAGTTTGCAAGGTTCCAAGCTCTCAACCAACCACAAGATCAAGACATGAGCTTTCTGATCTTTCTGGCAGTCTCAGCAACGGCCTTGAACTCCAGCAGGTCGATCTTGCCAGGTAGTTTTGCTAAGGACAATGAGAGGGTGTCAGCTTCCTCGAGCAGGCGGGCAGGTACCTGGACAGAACTTCAGGTCTCCCACGCTGTGAGAACC